GCGAAACCGTATCGACCATCCAATCCTAGCTCAAGATTAACTCTTCGCGCCGACAACAAGCTGCCAGTCTCTGCGAGGAAAACCCCAGCGAACCCAGCGGCAAAAGTCCGATTTTTCTCCCGGAAAAGGCCAAGAAAGCTGATGCAGCAAGCAGCAGTCTCCAACCGGATTCCCCTGACGACACAGATTCTTCTGTGTGATCCAATACGAGGACGAGAATTCACCAATCGAGAGGCGACGAAGGGGAACGGGACGCGGACCGAAGGAAGAGGATGTAGGGTTGGGAAGATAAAGATTCGGGAAAGGGCAATCGTGGCTCACTTTGGGATCCTCGAGCCCACGCTGATGCCAACAAGGAATGGTGGTGTCATTTAGCATGGCCGGCAAACCGTGCTACTTAACACGGGATCAATAATTTGATTGATTGATTCTTTTAGGCATGCATTGATTAAGGCGAAGGAGGAGATATTTGACATGATATATCGATTTTTTGGGGTCAATTAGTATTAATTAGATTTCGTCATATTATATGTATAACGTATTCTACGATATAATATCCGAAAACCGTTATAATCTTTGATATATCACTCGATCCGATCTCGATTATAACAAGAGTAAGCCGCTGCCGACTGTTGCAGGCGACAAGGCAGCTCGCCTGGCTTTCCTCGCCTCTTCTCTCTCTCTCTCTCTCTCCAAGCTGTAATTTGTCGATAAAGCTTTGATTCACTTATATTTGTCGATGAGCTTTGATTCACTTAGATCTGTTGATCGACAAAGGTATTCGATCCCTTCTCTTTGAGTCCCCGTTTTTGGTTCCTTCGCGATCGATTCCTGCTTCTATTTCTTTTGATTGGGTTCGTCTCAAGTTTCCGCCATGGTGGACGGTGACAACGGCTCCTCCTCTCCGGGGAAGGAGCAAATTCCATGCCCAGATCCGCAGCATGGAACCGATACGGCGGCGGTGCCGGTCGCGGCCGCGGAGGGCGACAGGGAGGTTGAGTCTCTTGCTCACAGGATCCAGGAGGCTGTCGCCGTCGGTATGCGGCACCGGTTCTGGGAGACCCAGCCGGTGGGGCAATTCAAGGACGCCGGCGACACAAGCCTCTCCGAGGGCCCCATTGAGCCGCCGGCGCCCCTTTCCGCCGTCAAGCCTGAGCCCTACAATCTCCCCGCCCTCTACGAGTGGACCACCTGCGACATGGACGACGAGCAGACCTGCGCTGAGGTGTACAACTTACTCACCAACAACTACGTCGAGGACGACGAGAACATGTTCCGGTTTAACTACTCCAAGGAGTTCCTTCAGTGGGCACTCCGCCCACCAGGCTACTTCAAAGCCTGGCATATCGGCGTCCGGGTGAAGGCCACTAAGAAGCTCGTCGCCTTCATCACCGGCGTGCCGGCCCGGATCCGGGTCCGGGACGAGGTCGTCCGGATGGCGGAAGTCAACTTTCTGTGCGTCCACAAGAGGCTGCGGTCGAAGCGGCTCGCGCCCGTGATGATCAAGGAGGTCACGAGGCGGGTCCATTTGGAGAATGTCTGGCAGGCGGCCTACACCGCTGGGGTCGTCCTGCCGACCCCCTTCACGACCTGCCGGTACTGGCACCGTTCTCTGAACCCGAAGAAGCTGATTGATGTGGGATTCTCCCGGCTCGGCGCTCGGATGACGATGAGCCGAACGATCAGGCTGTACAAGCTTCCGGGATCAACTGCGACGCCCGGGTTAAGGAAGATGGAGCTTCGTGATGTTCCAGCAGTCACCCGGCTGCTGAGGGAGTACTTGAGCCAGTATGTTGTTGCCCCCGACCTCGATGAGAATGATGTGGAACATTGGCTTCTCCCTTTGGAGAATGTGGTTGAGAGTTTCGTGGTTGAGAGCCCTGAGACTCATGAAGTCACGGACTTCTTCAGTTTCTACTCTCTTCCTTCTTCGATTCTTAACAACCAGAACTACTCGGTGTTGAAGGCTGCATACTCTTATTACAATGTGGCTAAGAAAACTCCTTTGCTCCAGCTGATGAATGATGCACTGATTGTGGCAAAGCAAAAGGACTATGATGTCTTCAATGCACTTGATGCCATGCACAATGAGACCTTCCTGAAGGAGCTGAAGTTTGGGCCTGGCGATGGACAACTCCATTACTATCTATACAACTACCGAGTTAGGAATGCTTTAAGACCATCAGAGCTAGGGCTTGTTCTTCTATAGTCTGGTAATAATGATCTTGGATTTCTGGTGGGTAATTGCTCTTTCAACTCAGCACATGCTTGCTTATTTGTGATTTGCTGCATCATCTATTTATTGTTCTACTTGTGATAGATTTGAATTGTGGCATCTTGCATGAAGACTTGCCTTTTAATTCCAATTAATGTTGGGTATGCAATTGAAATATCAGTTTCGTTTTTTTTTCTTGCTTCTGTTTGCCTACAATCAGTTGTCATGGTTGCGGGTTCTAATTTCCCTAGGCAATTCTGAAATTTGTAGCTGGGAACCCGGATGACCTTGATTGGATGTAAATTAAGTTGGAAAGCTTAAGATCTTGTGAGTGATACCGAATTAAGACTAATGTATAAGAGTAGCAGTCTGTGACTTCTATTGAATTTCCCATTGTTTTGGGAATTGCAACTTCTTTTTGCTTTCTGATCAAAATGCTTTAAGTTGTCGGTCTAGAAGTTTTTTTTCTCTTGTGGGGAATTCCTGCTCTGATTAATTCAAGTTTCTAGTATGTGAAGCTTCTGGACTGCTGCCATTGTTTGAATTGATAATGCAGTGGTAATCATGCTTTATGCATGTAAATATTTTCCGAGAAAACTGTAGACCAAGAAACTTTATTCACAGGTGGTGTCTTTGTCATTTGATTGACATCCTAGATTCATCTTCTATGAACATATTTGTGAATACGAAGAAGGCACAAAGCTGTCACGATTCTCATGAGCATGTCCCTCCGAAGGATATTGCGAAAGTGATGAATAAAATAAGTTCAACGGAACATCATTGTAGTTAAAATATAGAAAATGTTAAGCGGTAAAAATTGACCAGAAAAATTTATAAAAAAAGGTTTGGAAAAGCATGCAAAAAAAGAAAAGGCAGATGAAAATTCATCTAGCCAATGAAAGTATAGAGATGTGTTTTTTTCCCATATTTCTCTGAATTAGTAGGTAAATGTAATTCTCTTTGTAGATGTACAATTTGTGTATATAGGATGTCATTCTTTGTTTTTCTTGAAACTATTCTTTGATAGGAAAATGATCATCCACTTGAAATCTTTCTCTTTTAGCTTCGATTTCTTTTATCGGATATGTTTTCTTTATATGCAACAATTGCCAAAGGTAATATTATTTGCTGTGCTGGACAAGTATAAATATGGCATTACGGTATAGCTATGACATTTTGTTTGTTTTGAGACTTTGTATGTGATAAAATACCATCTTGTGAGACCGAGTTCTAAATAAGATGTAAAATATTTTGTGTGGAATAGATAGATTCTGTGACATGAGATACACCAGTGATATTGGAGGTTCCTTCTCCATATCCACAACACCATAGCCTAAAATAAGATGGTAGGCTTCATGTACATGTAAATCTAGCATACCGGGCAAAAAAATATATGAAACTTTGCTTCTATCTGTACATTCTGTGATTGTGATTTCATTAAAAATTACAAACCTTTTGAACTCGGACTATTTTCCGAATAGTGGATTCATAATCTTTATCAGTTTCTCTTAAACATTGTCCCCTATTTTAAAACACCAATTTTTGCTTACTGCCTTTTGGGTTTTACATTGCACATTTGCAGTTTTAGACTTGTGGTTGAGGCATGCTATATGATGTTCTTCAGCTTTCTACTAATCATCGAGATCTGGCATGCGATGCTCTACTCTGCAAATATATATATATATATATATATATATATATTGATGCTCTGTTATTTTTTTGTTGTTGAATTGGTGAGCATGTGAATTTTCTCTACTCATTTCATTCTTGCCTCTGAAACTTTTATATGATGCCTGTACCTTACACATTTGTTTCAGTTATGGTTAATTGGTGATTTCTGGTTCCGTCGTTCTCAATTTTCCATGTTAAGAACTCAAGCTTGGACATTGTTTAGTTGCCATTTCAGTGGTACAGTGCGATGAACTGTAGTAATTAGCTTCGTTAATTACTCTACTGGAAACAAATTTATGTTGAAGGAGCAACCTCGATCACTGTTTACTTCCAAGGGTGATCTGCACTCTGCAACTTGAGATGTAGTTGAACCTCTGCTAATTGGCATATGATAACACTGGTGGGTGGGTCATCAAGAACAACAATTGGAACTTTGGTTCAAACTGAAAAATCACAGATCAAACCACAGGCAGGAGAAAGAATATATACATTATCATCAACCGCACAAGAAGTTATAATGCATTTGCAGATCGAATATCCAGATCCAGGAACAGATGCAGAGAAGTTTTAGTGTCATCACCAATTTCACAGCATTGGAAATAGATCGGCAACTCAGTTAAATGGTATATATGTCTAACGATCCCGCAGACAAGATCATAATCCTGTTTTAATATCTGCTTTGTCTTAATCTTGTTTGACTCTCTTCTTCTTGATGCAGGTGAATGAGGGACTGATGTGCCTGCAAACAACCATACCAAACAATATCAAATATTTCCTGGCCAATCACCTATACTAAAATTAACAGTGAATAGGAGAAGGAAAAAGACAGGTTAGTGTAACCAATAAACCTGATAGCATTATTCTAGTGCCTAGTTGTATGCTGTGAAAAGAACTTCTAAACTTCAAAATCATTGCTTAGTCCATTTCAAGAGCAAGAATATCCAAGCCAGGTTTCAAAAGTGTGAATCTTAGGTCAATTTCATAAACCATGTTAACTAATGTAAACAATAAAATATTATTCCTCAACAGGTTTCAATGGTAGTAGTTAAGACCCTAGAGCAGGTGACCTGGTCTTCTTACATGATAAAAATGTATATATGAGTCTGCTTGGAACAGATGCTAACATTATGAAAACCATGTTGTCCCAGGGGTTTTAATTGATTCCCCCAGTCATCACCATATGATAGATACTTAGACATGTTTACATGCTACTTACCTGCAATCAGTTAACGCAGATAGTAGCTATCTGTCAAAATTGTCAGAAGAATGGTAAAGATTAGGATAAAGGCCATCAATTGAGTTTGTATGAGAGTTTTGTGTAGACAACACTAATTCTCCATATTGACAGGAACAAGTTGGAAATTATTTTGCATATTTGCACCTATCTACTGTTAAATGGTATAAGCATTACAATCTTACAATGATGCATATGACACACGATAATAACAAGAAACCGATATGAATGATCAATTGATGCATTCTTATACCAGGGTTAATTATAAATTATTTTTTGAAATTAGTTATTTTTAACGTCTCAATCTTTATACTTTAAAAAAATTATATTACGATCCTTATATTTATGAAAGTAAAACATTTAATTCTTTTTTTCTTCTGTTGTTATTGATTCTGTTAATGAAAATATCATACAATTTATTACTGAACACACGAGCTAATATATATATACTATCATTAGAGAAACAGCATACACCTACCCATACCATTGAAAACTCGAAGTCAATATGAAGCGTCAATGAGTTGTGTAATTGTACCAAAATCTTGTACCCAATATTTTGAGTAACATACCACAGTTGACATCTGTGATCAAATGAAGAATATAATGAACATAATTGACGGCATAGAGACCCTATACATTGGAACAATGAAAGCTAAATTGTGACCATGAAAAGGGGATATATTCTATGCAATTCATGTTTAGACCAACCAAATGTACTATTTGACCACCTTCCCAAACAGCATAATAAATCATGATTACTTATAGAATCCAATGCAAGCAGCAGATTCTAAAATTGGGGCAAAGCTAAGAAATTTGAAGATAATACTTAGTAGAAGCGTTGAACAGCCCATAGGAAGAAGTCAAAATAATAGATCAGACCGGCCAACAACATCAATCTTTTCGCATGCGACGATCTGCAAACCTAACGAGAAGAGAACTGAGAGGAATCAATCATACCTGAAATCGAAGCGGTCTAATTACCAGCCGTAGACCACCCGGGCGTACTTGTCCTTGAGCCACCGGAAGCCCCTCCGGAAAGAACCCTTCACCTTGCCCTCGACGGCGTAGGCCTTGTAGCCGGCGACCCGCCGCTTCCGCTGGAACTCGGGGTCGCTGAAGACCCAACCCCCCTTGTTGGAAGAAGAGGAGCCGTAGTCAGCCTTCGCCTTGAAGCCATCAGGGCCGTGGCTGCCGCCGTTGTACATGTAGGCGTAGGAGGCGCTGTAGCTCCTAAAGTCGTGCAGGCCTGGAGGGGGCGCCGCCGCCGCCGAGGACCGGGCGCCGTACACCTCCAGCTGCATCATCCCGTCGTTGAAGGACCTCGATCTGAAGTCGTCCATGGTGTGCGCCTCTCCCTGCTCTTCGCCCCTCTCTCTCCCTCTTTCTCGCACCGCAAGGCGCAAAGGGCACACCGACCGAGAACGAGACACGTGTCTGATTCGTTCCCTCTTCTACTTGTGGCGGCTTGTAACTCGCAAGGAAAGGGTCCCACCACGTCGGATACCGCCACCGTTGTAATGGACATTGTGACGTCCGTGTGAGCGTTATAATTGACTACCGATGTCGGAAGCGGACGTGAAATGTTATAGATATCCGTTATAATGTTATGTGATGGCACGATTCTCGAAGCGTGATCCAAGGTGTTTTGGATGGATATAAATATACATTGTGATCTTCCTTTAAAAATTAATTATTTATATACATATACATTACTACATAAATACTCTCTAGATCAATCTATTGGAGTGTTGAAAACGATTGGACTAAGTTTGAAATCAGACACTAGTAGAAGTAGATTAATCCGACCTAATGTTACTAGCTTAATTAGAATTACCTAGGTCACAAGGTACTCTTACGATCCAAAAAGATTAGTCTAATTATAATTTAGCTCTAAGTCCCGAAAGAGTTATAAAAAATAAATTGATTAGTTTAAAATTGAGTGATGAATAAGTCCTGACGTCTCGTGAAGATGATAACTTCATAAGTAATTCAATAAATACTTAGTGTGTAATAAAAAAAAAGAGAAAAAAGAAAACAAAAACTTTAAAAAGTAAATGAATAGTCATAAGTTCATAAACGACTGCTCATTAAATGTTAAGTTCATTGACAAGTTTTCATAGGCTTAACGTATGAAGTTGTGAATTCAATCAACACTCAATAATATCTCAACCCACCATCCAACTAGGTGCTACTTGAAGGGTTCTAAGGTGTTGAGATGGTTGATATTTTTTTTTACACCATAGCTTACAGAAAATAAGATATGACACATGAAAATTAGGTCATTTTGAGATAGTTTTGTCTAATCTGGTCAGCGATCGTTCTATAACATTATAAATTATTCCTACTTATAGTTTTTAACCAAACCATATAAAAATGAGATAAAATACTCCACCCATACATACACATACGTACAAGTAAACAAATTTGATAAATATTTTGTTAATGAAGGTGTTGTGGGTGTGCGATGATCATTTGTAACATTAAGATTTTAGGAGGTCGAATTAGAATTGAAACCCTAGAATTCTTATAGAAAAAGATTGATATCAAGTATTCTTAGCTTGATCCCCTTCATATGCTTAACTTTGTAGGTGTCTAAAGTGACATAATGCTTAGTTGATGATTCAAAGAATTTTTTATAAATATAATTTTATTATTTTAACCAAAATATAGGGCAAAGATGATTTTCTATTTATCAAAAAATGAGGATATATATATATATATATATATATATCTTAATTGACGTTAAAGTACACATCAACATCCCCTTAAAATGATTATTGTCATGAAAATAATAAAGTTCCTTTTGTTATTTAAAATTTCTAATATTATGTAAGTTAAACTAGTTATTGGTAACAAATATATATTTGATGTATAAACATATATGTTGTGCATCTTAATATTTATAGGGACACGCATTGGAAACTCATAGGGGCAGACACATTACTTGCCATTTGCAAGCATAATTATGTAAAAGAACAATATCTGTACATACAGTATCCTAAATCGATACTCCAACATTGTACAGCCTAAACTTCCATCTTAGAAATAATTATAGTTATCTTTACTCTATATGCGTCAAATATATCTATTTTTTGAATCAAAAGAAAAGCCATTAGTGCCAAATACTACATGCGAATTAAAAAAATTTATTTTCAGAAATTATAGTAAAACATCTTAAATTAAAAAAAATTCTCATAATTTTTTTTTTCTGAATAATCATTTTACCTCGACTCCCCGTTATTGTCTTGCACCGCCTTTCCATTCCTTCGCTTCGTCAGACCTATCGTGAAAGGGATTGTCGTCGTTGCAATCTTTGTGTTCCTTTTTTCTCGTTGAGGGTGAGGTCTCTATTTTTGTCGGATCCCATTGGATCTAGCGATGCTGAGGACGACGACCCTTCGTCCTTCCTCACCTGTGCGCATCGATTGTCATGCTCCCTCCTTTCTCGCATGAAGACTGTCGTACCCTCTCCTTCATTGTATAAGGTTGAGGTGAGAAAAAAAAAAAAGGGATAAAATGATTTTTTCACGTGAAAAAAAAAAGGTGTTCTACTTAAAATTTTCGAAATTAATGTTTTTTAGAATTCGGTCAAATCTTAATAAAAGCTTAAAAAAATAGAAATTTAAAGCTTTAAATGGCAGACACGTAAATAAAGGAAAAACCACAAACTCTGGTCGAGACCTCGTGTACTTGATTTGGGGCTGACCCGCGTCGTCGCTGCTTCCTCCTCCTCCTCCACCGCCGGCGTCCCGGCACGTCTTTCCGACCCGCGTCCCGGTTTCTCGGCTGACTCCATCTCGCCCTAATCGGACATGGCTTGGAGGCGCGTCCTCACGAGGGTACGATCTGTTCCATTTCGGTTGCCCAGATTCGTTTTGTTTGTTTTCCCGATTCTTAGGCTTCAATTCGTTGGTTCTTGGAACGATCCTGGTTGGTTTGGTTATTTCGTTGGGCTTTCCCCGTTCCCTGGTACCGTGGATGTTAAAGAGCTTCTGCAATTCATCATCCCTTTGAATTCAGTGCCCTAGGTTCCAGAACTTGGGTAGAGATTAGGGTTTTTGACGTACTAGATCAGCCTGTGCTTTCTTGGGGATTTTGCGCTTGAAATGGTTTAGATCTGCTCGGTGGACTATCTAGTATCGTTTCCCCCCTCTTTTTTGGGTTCTTCATCATTGTTTTAACATGCTGGTTATTATGCTTGTTTTGATTCCTCTCTCGAATGAGTGTTATATATATGCGTATGCTCTTTGTTGCTTTTTCTCGCTAATCTTAGTTTGTTTTGATTGCAACAGTTAGGGAAACAATCGTTGTTGGGGCATCCACATTTTGGTAGTGGTCAATCTCATCATGCTTTACGCAAGGTCGAAACCCATGTTGGTATGTGGGTCTTGTATCCATCTTTGGGTTTAGGTCTATTTGGTCTCTTGCCAGGAGAAAACTTATGCTCTTCTTACTGGTTCATGCAGTTTGGTGGCAACTTTTTTTCTATTTGTTCAGTGTAATGTGATGGTATTGCATTTTGATTTCTTTATATGTTGACTTGTTAATGTGTTATCTGGAACCAGGAAGAACATCTAAACATGCCTTGAATTATGCTTGTCTCCTCACGGTGTGTTCTTGGATCACATCTTTGGAATGTTTTCTTTTGTTTAAGCTACTTGAGGGAAGCCTTCATCAGCTCCCTAAATTTATTGATGAATCCTGCAAACTCTGTTACTGTCCAGTCAGCAAGTTTGGCCCTTGAGGATGAGTGAGGATTTTGTAATCCCCTATTACAAGAAATCTTCATGTTTGGCTGGCATAGTTGTTCCAAATACAGATGGACCATGATTGAAATTTTTTGAAATAATAGTTAGACCAATGAAAACATTTTATATTTACAGTCCAATGCTGTCCCTGTCAACTTTTTTTTTTCCTCCAACGAAAAAGATGCCACTTTTTTGCCTTTTCCCTATAAATTGCCCTTCCGTGAGAGGCAACCCTCTTCAACACCTTCCCTTAGATCACCAGACCCTTCTACAAGGAGTTGATCTAGGTCAAGGCTTAATCATGATCTGGATAACTGGAAACCGTAGATTTGTCACCTCTAGGTTTGACACTAGTATCCAATTTTCTACTTTGTGATGTTTCTCCCTCTTTCCATGTGTACCCCTCATTTGCATCTTCGACGCCACCATCTTTGGCCTTCCATGGCAACTGCACTGTGTTTTTTCTTATTTTATATTTTCCTGTAAATGTTGAAAGTATCAGACTTACACTTTGACAACTCATATGTTTTGTCCAGGCCAACTAGAAGCACTAAAGACTACTGAATGATGATGTATCATAAATCTATAATTAGTTCATGTGGTGTTCATTTCATTTTTAGGATTATTTATTTATAGTTTAATTCATCTTTATGCTAAACAATTAGGTAGAAATATTCAATTTTATTGTTTGTACAGCTTTAGTTCCACTATGTTTTATAATTAAGGAAATCCTGAAAGAAGTTATCTACTTGCTTACTGAGCCCTTTTTGTTTTAATGTACTGGATGACTAGTTGTCTTTTCTTTTTTTTGTAACTTTTTGCATGTTCTCACTTCTTGCAGGTAACAGACTTGGAAACTTCCACGAAAGATTTCAGTCAAGCTATGTTGGTAGTTTTGCTCGCAGAGCACGGGATACAGATGGGCCAAATGATGTTATGCTTCTTAAAGAGCTCTACAGAAGTGATCCAGAAAGAGTTATTAGACTCTTTGAAAGTCAGCCTTCACTGCACTCAAACCCTTCAGCACTTGCTGAGTATGTCAAAGCTTTAGTGAAAGTTGATAGACTGGACCAAAGTACGTTGTTTAAAACTTTACAAAGAGGTAAGGACACTGATGCCTAGATAATGACATATCACATTTGTACTTGCAAGATTTGTGATACAACGAGAAATGCATGGAATATAAGTTCTTCTTATTCTTCCATTTTATTGTTCTAAATATATGTTGAAATTGTCAAATCTTAATCCAAAATTACCAAGGTGTTCTCTTTTGGTTACTGATGAAACTTAAACTGCAACTGAAACTTCAGGCTATCATCTTTGTTGTCATCTTTAGCATAGAAGAAAAAAAAAACATAATGGAAGATTATATCTTTTTTATTTGCATTTTGTATCTTATATCTTCACTTTCTATTGAGGGACTTGGATTTTATGTGTTAATGTTACACATAGGTGTTTCTAACTCGGCAATGGAGGAGAGCATTAACAGCATTAGCAGTGTTCCAGCATTAAAGAATGTTGGCCAATCAACAAAAGATGGGATTCTTGGGACTGCAAGTGCTCCCATCCACATGGTGACAGCAGAGACCAGTAATTTTAAAGAGCAATTATGGCGTACATTTCGTACTATTGCAGTTTCATTTCTTGTAATATCTGGTGTTGGTGCACTTATTGAGGATAGGGGACTTAGTAAAGGTTTGGCTACTTCTAAGATAAAATTTAACTATTTATATTCTGAAAACTGTTATTTTTCAGTTAAGTGGATAAAGCTTTTTTTTTGTCATAAATCTCAGCAGGCCTTGGTCTACATGAGGAGGTGCAGCCAAGCATGGATTCTAGTACAAAATTTAGTGATGTAAAAGGCGTTGATGAGGCCAAAGCTGAGTTAGAGGAAATTGTCCATTACCTTCGTGATCCCAAGGTATACTATAGTAATTTTATCTAAGGGAATGAGTTTGAGTTTAATATTTATAATTCTTAGAAAATTATTCATTTCCTTTTCTGTAGTTATTGGGTATTCTCAGTGTACATGATGTGGATTTGAAGATGTCTGATTAGCCCAAGTGGTTTTATTGCTAAAATTATGAAAGAATCTTATAAAAAACGAAATTAACTTAAAATGTAATAATAATTTATGGATAGGTAGCTCATACAACAGTAAATTATGGAACAAAAAATAAGACAAGCAGCACCTGTTGGGTGACCACAATGTTGCAACAAAAGTACCGAAAAGAGTTGGGCTAGAGATGATAATAGTAGGTAAAAGAAAAGAGGAAAATTAAAAGAAGGGAAAAAGAAGAAAGGGCCAAAGAAGAAAGAGACAAAGGAAAAGGGCAATATGGAACCCCTACCTAATATGACTCTTCTTGACTGGATTAAATAGTTGTTTTGAAGTGCAACTTGGAAAGATAAAGTTTCGGTGTCATGAATTTATTAGGAAACATCATGAATAATGATAGGCCCCAAAATGCATCCTTCATCCTTGACTTTTAAAGTAGTAGGGGTTTCCTTCGAACGTTTTAGCTACATCATGTGTAACAGTGCTGGCAATTTTCTTTTCTCAAGAATTACAGATCTAATCTTTTACCTAGTTCACTGCTTTGCTGTGAGCATTGTGCTCTTGCTAGCAGTGAAGAATCTTGTTGAATTTTTCTACAACTGAGTTTTTATGTGCTTCAATTTTTTTTTATGCTTATAAGGCATGAAAAATAAGTTCTCTTTGTTCTCATAAAGAAATTTAAACTCACTTTAAGTCATGTCCTTTGTCTCATGTTTGGTGCTCGTTTTAGCGTTTCACCCGCCTTGGTGGGAAGCTTCCAAAAGGTGTGTTGCTTGTTGGTCCCCCTGGCACAGGGAAGACAATGTTAGCAAGGGCTATTGCAGGAGAAGCTAGTGTCCCCTTCTTCTCATGCAGTGGCAGTGAGTTTGAAGAGATGTTTGTTGGTGTCGGAGCTAGGAGGGTCAGGGACCTTTTTACTGCAGCAAAGAAAAGGTCCCCTTGTATTATATTCATTGATGAGATTGATGCAATAGGTGGGAGCCGTAATCCGAAGGATCAACAGTACATGAAAATGACATTGAATCAGTTGCTTGTTGAACTGGATGGTTTTAAGCAGAATGAGGGGATTATTGTCATTGCAGCAACCAACTTTCCGGAATCATTGGACAAAGCACTTGTGAGGCCTGGACGTTTTGATCGTCATATTGTTGTTCCTAATCCAGATGTTGAGGGTCGAAGGCAGATTTTGGAATCCCACATGTCAAAGGTATTTACATAGCTCTCTATAGTTAACTTCTTGTTAATACTGCAAATTAGCATTATTGTTCGTGGTAAGATCTGCTTATCTTAACCAGGTGAACCCATGGTTCAGTTGGTTATGATAGTTAGGTTTTTTGAATACATATCGAAATGGCAACAAGAAAGGATTGAAGAGTATATTTTAGAGGCAAAAGGGCATATTGTCTGATTCTTCAGTTTCATTCTGGTACAGGTCTTGAAGGCGGATGATGTGGATTTAATGATCATTGCCCGGGGCACGCCAGGGTTCTCAGGTGCAGACCTTGCAAATTTGGTTAATGTTGCTGCCCTCAAGGCTGCCATGGATGGGGCAAAAGCTGTGACAATGGCTGATCTGGAGTATGCAAAGGACAAGATCATGATGGGCAGTGAGCGGAAATCGGCGGTGATTTCTGATGAATCCAGGAGGTTGACAGCTTACCACGAAGGTGGCCATGCTCTTGTTGCCATCCACACTGATGGTGCCCTTCCAGTCCACAAGGCGACTATTGTGCCGCGGGGGATGTCCCTCGGCATGGTTGCACAGTTGCCTGATAAGGATGAGACAAGCATCTCTAAGAAACAAATGCTAGCAAGGCTTGATGTCTGCATGGGTGGCCGGGTAGCTGAAGAGCTAATATTTGGGGAGAGCGAAGTGACTTCTGGTGCTTCATCCGACCTGCAGCAGGCAACTTCCGTTGCAAGAGCAATGGTCACAAAGTATGGTATGAGCAAACAGGTTGGTCTTGTTTCACACAACTACGATGATAATGGTAAGAGCATGAGCACCGAAACAAGGCTACTTATAGAGAAGGAGATGAAGGATTTTCTGGAAAGGGCTTACAACAATGCAAAAACTATTTTGACAACTCACAATAAAGAGCTACACGCCCTTGCCAATGCGCTTCTTGAGCATGAAACCCTATCTGGTGCGCAGATCAAGAACTTGCTTGCTCAGGTGAACAGTCAGCAGCAGCAACCTCAAGTGGTGGTAGCTCCACAGGTGAATACCCCAGCAGTGCCACCGACGCCTCCCTCAGCAGCTGCAACCGCTGCTGCTGCTGCAGCAGCCGCTGCAGCCCAGGCAGCGGCTAAGGCCAAGGGAGTTGCTCAGCCTGCGGTTGGAACTTAAGACGGCGAAGAGCTGCTTTTAGATTCGGTGATGTATAGCATAAGCTGCAGCTTCTGGCATCTAAAATCACAAATGCTGGTTGCAGAAAAAGACAAAGTTCAAAATCAACTTCCATTGTGACACAGCAATGCATGTATGTGAGCATCTATTTAATTTTCCATGAATTGCAAAGGAAGACAATGTTGGAAATTTTGTTGAACTAATGTGGGTTTTTAGCAGGATGAATTGGGGTTTTGAATTGACATCAATCACTATAGTGCTAATAATGATGCCTATACTTTTCGGAACCTGAGTTTTGGCGGTTCAACAAAGATGAACGTCCAGATCTGTGCTTTCAGCCTTCTGCCAACATTCTATTCAGTATTGTGGTGAATATGAGATAAAAGTTCAGCTTTTCTAATTGTGCTGCATGGACTTCTTTAATTCTGACCGAGATTTGTGGAAGGAACAACTTTGTCCCGCTGTATCTCGAATCACCATCCATAAATAAAAGGTTGGATTAGGTGTCGAAACTTTTTAAGATTTGAGCAAGATGAGTTACCGAGATAACATTTGTAGCTACTTTTACGATCAAATAAATGATAATGTTATAGTTACTTTTACAACCAAAGTAACTATAAGAGTGTATGTATTGAGATCCTCGATCGTATGTTTTTATGGTAGCTTTATTGGAACCTGTGTGTTGTTGACACATCAACTTGGAAACAATCGTTGCCTCGATGATTGTAACTATCGTTGCCTCATCATCATTAACAATATATGTTCAGGTTCAAGGAGCCTCTTTGGATAAGTATGACCATAAGGCTGTAGGCTGTAGGCTGTAGAGGTTGGAATGCATCGTAATTTTGGATATCATCATTGATTTGTTGCTATGTAATGTGAGAACGATCAAACTTGGAATAAAAGACCGACTATCACCGTGCATGGTTTGATCATAAGATCCTTTGTAACATGAAGACTATAAATACACTGAGCTTTTATCAATATTAACATCGTGGCTCATTTTTCTATTTTCTTTGGATCATAAAAATATGAATAGATCTTAAAATTGAATCTTGGGTGGTGGCTCGTCAATCCTTTCCAATGAATCAGTTGATCATATCGCCTTTCCCCTCCCTTTCACCATGCTGGATGAACATCTATGCTCGTGAATTGCCATTAGCATTACTATATTGAATCCCCTATATACAATCACCACATCTTAACATATAGTGCTTAGTGCTTCTCTTATCATCGACATTGTTTATCTTCTTCTATAACTCCAAATATGACCTTCCTTGATTTAAAAGTCACGTGTCATGTTATCAAAGGACAGTATGGCTCCAAATAACCATTAAAAACATTACTTCACCAGTTATGTGTCAGGTCTAAGTATTTATTCTCACTGTTGAACCCTATAGATAACAATATCCATAAGTACTTTTAAGGGAATTAGTTATGTGAAAATTGATAATAAAATTTTCAAGATGTTGTATTTGATTGAATTGTTATGCAAAAGGGTAAATGATGTAAATAAGATTCGGATCTTGCAATAAACTATCCAAATCTTTACTAACTAAACCAATACCTTCTTGACTTTGATTCCTTCTTTCTTGCTTGTTCTTGAACAAAACCATTTCACCGGAAAGAAAGTAGACCTGTTCAGAGTCGAACAGCTTGAGCTTCAAAGACATTGCAAACAAAATTTCAACTGATGCTTACAAGATTAACATATATGGAGTCATCAAATCAATTAGAGAAAATGACTTATTAGCATTGGCCACATTTAAATCCAAAATGTTTAGGTGGCTACAAAGGCAACATTTTCCTGTTGCAGAAAAGAAGATGGAACGTATTCATGATTACACCTGATCATTTATCTGATGAACTATATAAACAAGTCAAGAACAAGATATAAAAAGTTAGAAAGTATTAATGTCGAACACAGCACATTTGAGATGTCATCTTTAGATTAATCAACACTTACTGCATAGCATTCTTTTCTCAAGAAGAAGAGTAAAAAAAGGAATAGAACTTTTAAGGTTTAGGAAGAAATCAGCTACTTAACGTGACTTGGCGAATAAATAAATTCTCTCTTTCTTTTTGTCCCCCGAAGAAGCCAGATAACGCCTAAAAATAACTATTGGCAGTAAATGTCACTTCACATGTCAAGTGATCCTACAAAATTAGGTCTTACAGAAGAAAAGAGTTTCTTGCAACCTATTACCATACCATAACCTTGAATCTGCAGTTTTTATAATAAAAAGAACTGAAATAGATTAAAAACAACCTACTTATTTAAACTGAAGTGTGCACATACATGGACTCCCTTTGCAATGTGAGAATGGCAAACACACATTTAAACAGAAGATCACGATTATACCTGTATTGGATTAAAGAACAAAGCATTGATACCTTCTCGCAAGCTTGGATATCTGTCTCAAAGAAATACTGTCAAAGTGACAAATAATAGGAGATGTGACCAAAATATCACACTAGCATTCCATTGATCTACAAGCACACAAAATGTTCTATTTTTCATCTGAGTGAAATCTCATGGTTGGCAAAGACTAAATATTTATGGTGGCTTCCCAAAGTCGAAGAAGTCCATTGCGCCCACCACTGCATAACCTTTTCCTGTCAAGGTCAGAAGATACACACCGTACCTGACATCGAACAAACACAGGAAATATGAAACCCCAATGGAATATTACAAACTGAATATGTTTCATAGCTAACTAAACACACTGATATCATTGCAAGATGATGAAAGAGAAAATATGCTTCTGCAGTGCCAATGCATCACAAAGTCCATGGTTTGCTTATGGTGCCAAGTTGTTATAACAGAATAGTTTGTGTCAGCATATGCAAATATACTTTTTCTCACTGTATTCTGTCATGATAGTTGCATGATGCCTAAGCATATCCATCAGGTTCGGAGAACGTGTTCATGCCATGGGCATGGGTCATGAGTAAGATCATAACAAATTCATGTCTAGGGAAAATCTAATCCAAAGGAAGCAATCAGCTCCTAACGAGGTTTAGATAATCGGATGCATCAGTTAATACATGCCAGGATACTGGTCTGACCATGGATTGATATGCGGACCATCAGTTTTCGTCTGACAGTTCATAGCGAGCTTTCCACCCGGTTTTGGTGCCTTGCTAGGCATACCATTGAAGCAGGTACGGTTACCCTATCAATAACACTGTCTAGCTTTAACTGTTGCAGCTGGATGTATTGGGTGGTAAGCCAAACATTCGACATCAGTATAAATTTTTCACTTTTTTTTTTTACAATTATGACTATTATTTTAAATCTCGATGCCAAGGACCGACACGGATCAGGTACACACTAGCATACCATACCAATACATAGTACGCTGGCATATTGATTGGCACCGAATAGGGTGAGGTGGAATTAAAGGAAAAAAAAGAGAGGCAAAGGCTAAGAGGAGAGTAGGATAAGGAAGAAGAATCATAGGAGGAGAGGAGGATAAGTATCATGCAGATGAACGAATGACGGTGGCGGCAAGCAGCGGGAGGTGCAAACAACAGTTGACACGAGAAAAAATAAAAGAGAGAGAGAGAGAGAGAGAGAGAGAGAGAGAGAGAGAGAGAGAGAGAGACAGAGAAGTCTTAGCACCGGATCAAGGTTTTTAAACCTTGGCTCCTATGTCCTTTGGAATATGAAGTCTTAAGTAGCTTCGTATCAGTCTTAATCATGGTCCTTATGGTACGTGTTATATCTGATATACCATGTATATCAGATATACCAAGTATTCTCTAAATAGCTAGATGAACCCAATGGACATGCTTGTGTATACCTTACTTTGTAATTACACTCGTTTTATTAATTGGTTGTCTAGTTATCTGTTCTATGGCATGGCTCCTATCTTTTACACTATGAATATACTTTTATGTACATTCACAATAATTTAGATTTCATAATTTATAGTAATCATCAAAGAAACAATGTAAGTGTGATTTAACATTTCAAGGCCATCTTCAAATGAACCAAGAATTTTCAAGGTCAACAAAAATGATTGGTTCTCCTATAAACAATCAGGCAAAGCTTATTTGCAAAATTCTGTGAGTTGTGCATTCTTTGATCTTTATCTGAAGAAGAATCATAGTTGCATATTAAATTTCTAGTCAAATAAACTCATACTATGATAAACTAAACAGGTAATTAACATAATGGCATCAACACGCTTCATTAACAGCATCTAAAAATCATGATGGGACTGGGACATACCATAGCAACGGTTTTTTGAGGAGTTCTGTATAGTTGCCAGCCAGCTGATTTCGCTCCTGTGCTGGCAAAACCACCCAGTCTTTCCTGAGGCCGATGGAAAAGTGACATGGAATTATCAGCTGCACCAATCCCCAGCCAATGTTCTCCAGCATTGATGGATAAAACAGAAGCAGAATGTATTGTCAAATTCTTAACACATTTCATCCCCCCTGCAGGTAGAGATGAAAACAGCATATCAGGTGTATACCTTGATCAAATGTCATTTTTATTCTGAAGTGCTACACCAAATTACTGCAGTTCAGGACTGCATAAATCTGTATTTATATTTTCAAACTATTTTGTGGAGGATAAAATTAATAGCTGTAATTTGACACCGACGTTTATTATTATTATTATTATTATTATTATTATTATTATTATTATTATTATTATTATTATTATTACTATTATTATTATTGTCATTATCATTTGCTAACAAGGAACTCTTCACTTGATCAGTTAATCATTACAGTGAACATAAAAGTATTCTGAATATCTGGTGCCAAATTTTGTCAAAACATTTTTAATCGACAACCGTTGTTGGAATCAGCATGCCAATTCCAGTATTTACTTAGTATTGTGCCTGTTCATCCAAGAAGATCAACATGTTTAGGAAACTCAGGTATATCTTACTCAGTGGTGTAAATCAATTATCTTCACAACTGATCCCCATAGATAAACCACAATAAAAATATGACATGTTTGCATGGTCAGAAATATTTTCTGCAGGATCACAAGTTCGCATCATAATGAAAAGCATTGGCTGATAATCATAAACATGTTTTAGTTAGCTATTTAAGCAGTTTGAGTGATTAAGCCACTAAGTTCTGAGTTTGAAGAATTCTGTATGTCCATTTTGTCCGGCAAATTTTAGACTAGCAATTCTCTACCAGAAAAAGGAAATCTTGCGTCCTAGATATAGCATGATGTTGAAATCATCTAGTTATCTATGCATATTATGTATACAATTGAAAAAGTTGATCGTCTTCAATCGAACCAACATGAATACCACTGAAACCCTATTTCACTCATGTTTCTCAATAGCACATCCAATACTTGCTTTTCTAACAGTAACAGTGGTGCTCTTGTTCATTTAGGTTCAATTAGATATACATCTTATCATAAATGAATCTTGAAAAATGACTTGAACAATAAACTTCTCAATTATCCTAACAAAAGAATGCATATATACGTAGAACATATATCAGATAATTAATTTATTTAAAGATTCCCAATCAGGAATTCTTTTCCAATAAGAGAAACCATAAGTCATCTCAGAATATCTAGACCAAGTCAGGTCACAGTGATAATATACATCAAGTATGTAAAGGTCTAAAGTGGACTTTTGAGCAATTTAACATGTTTTATATATCATAACATTAACACTTTATAGGTCCATTATCCTCATTGGTTTACTATTTAAGATATTGAACACGACTTCGATATTGATAGGGAGAAACATACTAATAAGCATCAACCTAGCATGTCAGGCATGTCTTAGATCATTGTTTGAAATGGGTAGAGAGAATAGGTAATGTACAGCTGATAGTATTCTGATTGACAAATCGAAATACAAAATTACAATAGCAGCCTAACCAAACAAAACAGCCTATCATGCCTTCAGGGTTCTTAAAAGATCATATAGGGTCATGCATAAACTACAGTTCATCATGCGATGTTACAGGTTATGAGTAGTTGCAGATCTAAGTTATGGCGGATACTTATTCCATCTCAATACCTCATGACAGAGGGTCATTTGGTATAGTTCTAGAACTTTGTTTGTGAGGGATACACTATGTTGACATTACATATGATTCTGAACAAGTAATTAACTTTATAAGCGAAATTCACATGCATTAATCAAATAGTGATAGAAGGGCAGAAGTGAATAAAGAATTGGATAAGAAGAAGATAAGAAGTGAATCACTGTCCTTACCTTCTTCATTTTCCCAAAATTTTATAAGCCCATCACTTGAACCTGAAATGATTGCACAACCACTATTTATCATAGTATTTACAAGGACATAGTGTTCTGCAAATGGCAGAAACGTTGACACAACATGACTGCTTATACAACACAATGAACCAACTAATTTAACATGAACAACAACAATGACTTACCAGTGATAACCCCTTTATCAGATGGTGAGTATTCCACACACAGTATTGGACCAGCATGACATGGTAAAACTGCTTCACATGTTCCTCGAGAAACAGACCACATTCTAGCTGTCCAATCATCACTTCCAGTAAGTATGGTGTCACTGACCATCCTAAGTGACCTGATAGAAAATAGTGCCTCAACAAGTGACAACTGAAAAAAGAAAAAAAAATATAAATAGTTCACTTGATCCAAGATTACCGAATCCATTTTGTGTGTCCGAGAAGCTTTTGCATTTGCCTACCAGAACGAATATCCCAAATATTTGCTACCCTGACAAAGTAATAGATTGTGATTAGAACTTCGAAGTTCCTTACACTACTTATGTTCATAAAATCATTATGATATTTAGTGCATCACATACACATCTCTTCCCGCCGCTGCCAATATTCCAGTTGAATCATCATATTCCATGCAAAGAACAGCATTTGAACAGCGACCAACAGTTGCAACACAAGTGTCAGTTCTGACATCCCACATCTTCACAGTACCATCATGAGCAGCAGTAAGAACACGTTCTCCTGAAAGCATCCGGACACAGCTGACCTACGAAAGTAATATAATTTCAAAGATTAGTTCAGAATTAAAATATCAAACTGTTAAACAAAATATGTTATTGCTAAACAGATTTACCAACCAAGAATAGTTGAAATGCGTGCATTTTCCTTAAAAGGTTTGAAATTTGTTACAGGATTGAAGACTTCAAGTATCAGCATTGAGTCAATGTAGTCAATTTAACTGTACTGGAAAAATTCCATATAGTGGTTGCATTATGCACCAAAATATTTGGTATTGGTAAAGTTATTGGATCATTCTCCTCATTTTCCTTGTGTATGAAAAGAGATGAACAGGAAGCACATGCGTAAAGTAGTTTGAGCAAAAGTCATAGGTACGGCGAAGTGCAAGACCAAGTTCCACGTTTATTCCATATCGCATAGTTTCTCAAGCTGGTACCTCAGCATAAAAGCTACGTGCATAAAGATTTCAAAAATGTGTGGCATTCTACTCAGCACTGCACTAGTGATTTAGGCTAAACTGATGAATGTAGTCCCGTATTTTAAAAATAGGTGGAACATTGGCCTTTTTGTCTGCAGAATTAGATTTTATTCTAGTAACATGTGCATATAAACAATGTATATGTACATGCTTGTATCTGTAAGAAGTGCAATTACAAATAGCAAATTTACATTTATAGGTAAAATATTTTTCTAAGATACAACATTGAATTAATCGCTGCTTGTACAATGGCTCTGCCACTGCTGCATGGCATATGAGATTGACTAATATAATGTTATAGAAACCAAAAGAACAGGCCAATATGGTGTTCCTTTGGGTAATCACAACTTGATAACCTTTACACAGTTGATTGATGTGGCTTATCATATAATTTATTGTGATTCCATTTTTCCCTTAAAGCACAACATAGTCCACCGAATGATAGTGAACATCAGGATTTTTATTTCCACTAGTACTAGGGTTATGAATAGAATGGAGTTCCATCCAGAGTATTCTAATTCAGTCCACTATCCATATCCAATGCACATAGAAATTAGATCTCCAATACGGAATTCTAATCTGGCATTAAGCAAAAGGTGATGGTCTAGTACACAAGGTTCTATAAATATGATGTATAGGTGGGGTCAATGTGCATTTTCTTACTCCTACAAGCACAATGGCTATTTCTATGACTCAAAATCTAGTCATCCATATTAGGATCACATTACTGTAGCACCAAGGCTCATTCTCTTGGTTAGGTAGTGCCATGGTTCATCTTACCAGTCCTTACCGGTGTACCGATCAGCTGTCGGTATAGTACGTACCAAGCATATCAACACATGTTACATAGGAGCATACCGATGTACCACCCATACGTGGTACGACAAACCTTGGGTAGACTGTATCCAACAGCCATTAGGTCAATCATAAATCTTTGCAAATTGTGCTATATGGAAAAAGTAAAAAACATGTGTATTAGTACTTGTATAGGACCACAATCTAATTAAACTGAGATCAACCGCATTAGTTCTTTCTTGTTTTCCTGTGCACCATGAACCAAGGCATCTGATATTATTTTGTTGTCGAACATGTGAAGTCCAAACCAAATTAAAACACATGTAATATTCTAAACCTAAGGTGTTTTCTTGACATGTATCTCTGCATTTATTTAATATCATTTATGGATCTATCTGCTACTCCGCTTCCAAACTAGAATGTGAAGAAATGGAATATCATTGTAGTGAATCACAATCTACTTAAATGCTTGAGGCAGAGAAATGTGGTATAAGATGATATGTTAATACACAATTAATTCATTGTGTACAGTGGATACATAATCAACAGTGAGATACAATCTAAAGATGAAATGTTAACACATCACATGTATCTTAACATTTTAACTTATTTTTTCTTTTTAATTATATGACCATATATTTTTTGCTAAAATACCAAAATAGTGAGCTCTCAGATCTGCAAAATTCATGATAATATTAGGCCTTATAACCCTAAAAAAACATAAGGGAAAGATTAAGAAGAGTTGATGTGTAATTTTCTAAAGAATTTCTATGCCCAAAGTCCTTGTACTTGCAGGAGGTATCATGGGCAAGAACATTAACATACCGGTGCCTCATGGCCCTTCAATTCTTCTAGAAGTTGAGATGTTTGCTTATCCCAAACTATGATAGAATGATCATCAGAGCCTGATACCACTTTACTTCGATCAGAGTTAATTGCACGAATAGGCCTGCAAGAAATGAAAAAGTTGGAAGAGATTTAGTTTAATGCGCCAATTAAACTATCTACAGCAGTAAACAAAAACAAGCAAGGGCAATAAAAAGTGATTCAATAATAGGAGGCGAAGCCCCCTGCATGGAGTGACCTTCTCTTTGGCTTGCTCGTCTTGAAGAGCGGAAAATAAACTAGTCTTGTTTCTTTTCATAATACCGGCCCTAGTCTTAAACAAATCAATTGTCTCTTCAGACCATGCATAATTTCTCATCATGCAACATAAAGTTCATGTTGCTCATGTATCAGACACACAAAACTATGTAACAAGTTAAGATGCAACATTTTGGTGTTACGTATCTGCTAGCACAAGAAATTTATGTAGAGGGCTCTTAAACTGAGTAAATGTAGTTGATTACCTAGTATGCCCTTTGAGTGTTGCTCGAAGTTCTGAACCACGCAAACTAGGATCCCAAATTTTCACCTGCAAGAATTGGAAAGGCATTTTTCAGATTCATTACATGATGATATCATGCAACACAACTACACAAAAAATTAAAGGAACAAATTTAAGAACATGGATAACATGTCCTTTCTGGAAATAAAATGCAAGGAAACCCTAAAATTTTGCAAAGACAAAATAGCACAAAAAGAATTAACAGTGAGGGAGGTTGGAGAAAACATGTTTCCATAGATCCAATAAGGAGTCTTGCACTGGTTGAAATCTGACCAGTACTTACCAGTCCAACCTCAATCAGGCAAACAAAATACCCCCTGGTAACCAAAGCAGTAAGTCTATCATATCAGGCAAGAATCATATCATCCATTACCCACATCACACTATTTTCATCCAAACCAGCCCCATTCTATCATTATTCTTCATTTAAACTCCTCACATGCTCTCTCAAACATCTCTTATTCTCCTTGGAAAGCTTTCTTTTCCTTGGTAATTTCATCCATATCAAGCATGGAAATCAAGAAATCAACGTAAACCTGAAGTTGTTTCTCTAGTTCTTGTGATTATTTTGCTTTCAACTGCAGGTGAGTGTTTTTTATCCTCAGTTTCCATGCATCTATACGTTTGGATGAAAGTTTGCATTTCGTGTTCAATTGAGACCAGATCTACATGCTTCTAGCATAGATTTATTGGAATTTAGGCTGTATAAAAGCTAATTTAGCCTAGATCTACATGGATTTCATCAAATCTAAGCCTGAAACTTGTAAATTTAGCCTTGATTGATGTAGAACTAGGCTAAATTCACACAAATCAAACCTAGATCAAACAGCTCCAATCTAGATTTGCATCATGCGATTCCCAACTTATCTTGGTTAGATCCTTGTGGATCCAACCTAGATTTACACAAATCGGACCTAAATCCACATAGATCTAGACTGGCTCCTTGCTACTATGGCTGCATAATTGAGGACAAAGAAAGGGAGGAGGTTGAGGAAGATCCATTTGACTCCTAATCTTGTCCAAGATGATTAAGATCCTGTGATAGTTTATGCAGCTCCAAAAATCAAAATGGTCAATTGCTCAACGAGGCAGGACATGCATAGTGTCCATTGAAGATCACTTATGAACAAATGGAGGACAAATAGGATGAAGTAGCCCGATATGAGGAAGAGGATGAAGCTACATTCTAACCTCATATATTAAGACGTGGTCAGCACAGAAAGTCAGTCCTCGCTCCTACAAGAAATCAGTCTCACAGATCCATAGGTTGCAGCCAGACCAAAGGTCATTCATCGCAGCTGGCTGACATTAGATGACATTGATGATCAATAATCAGAAGATAAGAATATTGCTCCACTCTGCTATCGCTCTGTTGTTTATTTATAGTTTGTGTTTTTTAAGTCTTTTTATGTTTTCCGGTCTACCATTGATAATGACATAAAAACTATAAAAGACACAGTCAAAGCAAAAATGCAGTAAAAGAAGTGATCGGACTGATCCAGTACTGATACCACCTGGTCCAATGGGTATTGACCCATACCATATGCTGGTAAGGACAGGTGTCATACCAGCAACCCATTTTGTATGCAGAATAATATGCCATGAGGACTTCCTTGGTCAAAAGAAACCATTCAGCAAATTACCTTTGATGCCAAAACTGACCTGGGCTGCATGATTAAGCATACTGTCACCCTAGTAAACTAAGCCATGATCCACGTGTCTCAGCATCTGAATCTCACTAAACGGATCTGGTGGGAATATGAAAAGACCAGAGCAGCCCTATGATCCACTCTTTCTAACGAGGGAAATTAGACCAAGGTAATCAGTGCTCTATTCATTTACTTTGTGACTCTTTACATAAAATTAGTCCATCACCAATTTGAGGATTTACTATGTGCCTTAAAGCATGTAACAAATGTCTTAAAAAACAAAAAGAAAAATCATCAATTTATAAGCAAATTTTGATGAATTTGATACTTCGTTACTCTATACAAATATAGATTAATGTCTAAAAAACAAAAAGAAAAACCGTCAATACTTCATTAATCTATGTGAATATAGCAATAGGTCAATCAAAGTGACTAAGGAAAGTCATAACCTTTTGAGATTATGGACAAATATGATATCATCTAAAACTAAATGGCACTCCTTTTCACATAACACTTGTAGTCAGATATACCTTAGTTTTCATACTAGAAAAAGCACTTTTCTAAGCACCTAAAATCAGACATATGATCACCAGTTTATCATGAAGTAATATCATGGATAAAAAAACAGAAAAATATAAAATATGTGTAGAAAATAAATGCAAGTTAGTTTCAAAACCAACCAAGCAATCTGTGCTTCCACTGATGAAAAAACCAGCATCTTCACGGTCACCAACAAGATCCCAGACCTCTCTTCTTGTTACACAGTGAAGAGCAGTTATAGCACCTGAATGACCCTTAAGTATGCGCATGCTGGAGTGGAGTTTCTTCTGCCCAGAAGGCAGAAGATCTGCCTTGCCAGAAGTAGCACCAGTTTTTGTACTGTCACTTGAAACTGAAAATATCCAGTAGAAAGAACTTGTGAAATCCATTATACTAGTTGAAAGTGTTATATAAGATAACTCGGCATGACCAATGGGTGTGCATCTTATACAGAAGATCAAGTACAACTCTGAAACATAATAACTTGGAAATACAACATTTTATATAAGGTGTGCATCTGATGAAAACATTATGGAGAATCCTTATTGGTAGTCTACTTACGAACTCGGCTAAAAGAATTAGCTCTTATGCTTCTGTCTCTACTAAACATGCTGTGCACCCAACTCCGGCCAACAACGGAGGCTTCAGTAGGTTCATGGCTTCCATCTGAGCCATCTTGTAAATGAGGAGAGGGCAAACCATATGGTGATGCAGATTGCACTTTCCCAGATGGGAGTCCCCAGTAACCTATCCGGAGTTGTTGGATATGTGACAATAGTGCCCTCAGCTTTATCTGAAACAGTTCAAGTAAAAAATTAGTTCCTACAATTAAGATAATATGATTTTGGTAAATAAACTCAAAAGATAATGAAAAATTAAGATTACTCACAAGTTGCTTGTAACCTAGATTGTTTTTCTCCGCAATTTTCTCAATCATGTTCCAAGCATCAGTGTCAGGGAGTCCTAGTCCATCCTCCATGATGGAGTAAAATGAACAGTTAAAACAGTAAAGTTCTAAGCATGAAAGCCTGACAATAGTTGGGAATGATAGATACCATATGGGTTGCAATTACAATGAGCTGTGCAGTCACTAGAGTTACATAGTTGGCTGACCTGATTTAATGTCAACAATTGTTAAAAATAACAAAGTTAAGACAAACCATATACCATAAGCAACAAAAGACAAACAATATTCTGCTGTATCTAAAAGAATAAAACAACAGATTATGATTGGCATTAAAAAAAACCATGGTTAAATCAGATTAGTATCAGTAATTTTTTGTTTGCATTCAGTCACTTGATATGAAATTCATACATGCTAATGCATTTCCTAAAGAAAGATACAACTTATATGCTGATGGATTAATCCCCACATACTGAAGGCTTATACATATGCGACGATGTATTAATTCCTAATGTAGAAGTACCTAAGCCATATTTCAAGGTTCAACACTTCAGAGCAAATGCAAAAACTAGGTATCTGAAGCAGAAGAAAGTTTCACTAGATGGTAAAGAAGAGTAGCTAGAACCTACTTATTTGCAGACTGCTCCATTAGATATTCAAAATAGGCATCCCAGAAACTGCAAAGAGAGCAAATCCAAAAGTAAGAATTTCTATAAGAAATTCTGTTTCCAAAACAAAACTATGATGCAATCTGTCATAGCAAAATCAATTTAGATACACCTAAAGAAGGATCTATCTCATAAAAGGTTATTACTTGGCATGACCAATGTGTAGATATCCAGACCTGAAAACAGATTGTGTATGTACATACATAGATAGATACATGTATGCATGGTTTTAAATTTCACCGGCAGGAATGCACTGCATGGCATCTAACAGTCTGGCAATTTCACATGGTCCAGTTTGATTTTTGTTTCCTTTGAGTTTGGCAAGCGACAACTATATATTTAACATCCCCCTTCTCAATCCCGATTTTCTCTACCTCACAACACATGCTACTTGCATAACTCCTTGCTCATGTCATCCACTGCTTGCGCCGCCCGCTGCTGGCTGCCATCCACCATTGTCTCATGCCACCTGCTGCTCACACTATCCACTTCCGATACTTCTCCTCTTCCTCCTCTCCTCTTTCATTCCTTTCCTCCTCTTCCTCCTCCTAGGTGCCGATGTCAGCATACCATGTGTTGGTATGCCGATGTATGGGACCCATACTGATCCCTGGCAGTATCGAGAGTTAAATTTAAAGCATAACAGTATTTACAATTTCAGACCCCATGTGAAAAACTTAACATCTTGAGGAAATGAACAAACATCACCAATAAGGACCATCAATGCTACCTTTTCTTTCTTTGAGAACTATAAAATGACTGAAGATCTACTTGCTAATGGAACACAAGTCATCTCCCATCCTATGAGACCACAAATCGTCACGTACACGACATGACAAACTTCTAGTAGCCGAAGTTGCAGTCCTTAGTTGTTGCTATATTGGACCATATTATCAACGACTCTCACTGATGCAAAACCAAATCTGCACAAATTTAAGAAAGCAACAACAAAAATAACAAGGCGTAATGTCCCATCTATTTAAGGTCAGCTACATAAATCTTTTGCTGCCATTGAGCCTTGTGAAAAGTAATATTATCAGTTAAATAAGAGCACTTAGATTTTTATTTATAGTTTTCATTTTCTAGTAAAGTCCTCTTAACCTTTAAGTCACCCTCTACCTTTCCTCGTACCACTAATACTAATTATCTCACATCTCCTAAGTACTACGTCTATAAACTTTCTTAGCACATATTGTGTCATCTTAAATGATTCTCCCTCAATAATTTAGCGATTGTTGTAATCACATGATATTGGTTTTAACTTTTAACAATAATATAACTCTTAAAAGAAGATGACTAATAAACATTCATTACAAGCAGACTACAACAACCTTACGAGAAAGCTAATAATACAATTTATAGAAGGCAATAGTTAACAAATTTTGTCATGCAGATAGCAAAAATTTTATGAGCAAGCTATCCAAAACTGAAACTATAACGCTGAGGGAAAGGGAACAGTAGCATCAAAACATGACAAAAAGGAAAATGTTTGAGATTTCTTAAGTGGAAAAACCAAATTATAAATGGACAGAGTTTGATTCGTTTATACACACACACACACCATGAGGCTACATTCCAAACCTCGAAGATTTACCAAATACAGGACAATCCTTCAAGTATTATGACTATGCTAAATTGCAAATATCTATTTTTACCTTTTCTTCCATTTTCAGGTCTTTGATAGATCTTGCACAGTACTCTTCATGAATCAGTGGCACTTCAGCACTTTTGGAACAATAGAACTAGAAAATACCCATGGGCTCTTGGCCTTAATTCTGTTTTGGGTGTAACTAATTAACCAAGAATATTCTTTTATGTATTAAGAAAATATTTGTGATGATCACAATTTAAACTGAAGATTGGAGGACTCCATAGGAGAAAGGAAGATGAGGAGTCAGGTGTACCATCCAACAATTATAAAATAACAATTATTGGATGATCATAGGGTAAAAATGGCTAGAAAGTTATTTTAACTTTGGCCAAAATCTGAGAAGAGTCCACCTAACAATGAGGTGCTAACAGATACACGGTTTAGAAAGGCTCCACTGGCTGCAGCTCTACTCCTACATGGAGGAGTGAAGCATTATTATCCAAAGGGGAGCAGAAGTATGATTCTAAAAATCTGCAGTGTTTACAAACTTTTCAAGCTTATTTACAAATAAATCCTCCATATTCATATTTTATGCCCTTGCCAAAATAGTACCATCAAAGATCAAGCATTAACTCTTGACATCAAAAATTGTAAATCAACTGAATGATTAATTAAGAAAATACAACTACTATAACACATTAACACCACGATGGAATCCTGATTGTGTTTCTTTTATACCCATTAATCTTAGAATCATCATCCCAATGGCACCAATATGTTGAGAATGAAATGCTCAGTGGTACAAGCAAATAAAACATAGCAGAAACCTATAGTGTTAGAATTTTTCATAAAAGGTATCTCCATGGTTGTAAAACACAATTTGCACCTCTACTTGAACTATCAGATTCTTATTCTTTTTTTTTTTCATCACTTAGAACTATTTCATCTCCTTCACAATGATCAGGCCAAGGAAATGTAAGTTTACTTTTTAAAATTTATTGCTATTAAAGTTCATCTCCAATAAAATAACATAAAATTCTCCCTTTTTTGTTTACATTGCATTGTGGTGACAATGTGCTTAAAAAATAACATGCATGATGAAATTTCATTCTCCATGTCTTTCAGGGTAATCCATGGTGCAACCTCATCATGATAAGAATTTGCCCAACTAATAGATGATCTATCAAAGGTTCACAATTTCATGTAATAGTAGTGTACCGGTGAGTGCTCGGACTGGTACCACACCGGTCTGTACTGATGTACTGAGTCCCAGTCTGGCAGTACATGCCAAGTCTTGATAAGCTGATACATATCGAGTTTCAAAAGAACCTAAGAAAACTGAAAAAAAAAAAAAAAAAAGAAACTGCCGGACGTATACTGCCGTGCCCTGTACCTGGTGGTTCTGAGCAGTATATGTCCTGTACTGGGTGCACTACCCCGTCACCTTAGTCTGTGTACCGATAGATTGTTGGACCAATATATACCGTCACTATCTACCGAACCATACCATAATGGGTGGTATTGCAAACCTTGGCCCTATCATATATATTACTAATTACCTTAAAGTACCTAATCAAAAAATTTTATTTTTAAATCACTGACCAAATAAGGTTTCATTTGCCCTGGCACATCCTCTCTATCTACCAATAAGAATTGTTCGTTAACAAATCTTCATCCAAGTATCTCAAGCAATGCTTCATAAAACACATACCGTAGCTCATCCCAAATGGACAGAGATAGAAGATGGCGTTGAACATAATCTGGAACATTGTTGGAGTCCTTTCTGTACATTTCAGCAGATACTTCAAGAGCATCTCTGATGGTAGCAATGTCATTGCGAGAGGAAGCACGGTTTATTGCTGTTTTGAGCTGCACAATTATTTCAACAAAAGCATTTTTCATGTAAAAAAATTCTTCAAATGACCATGAAATAGATGTGAAGCAATTGAAATCTAACAAGCATATAATGAAGCTCAATCTAAACTAGCCTCCTCATAAATTATCAACTCTTTACTTGCCTGACTTGGCATAAAAGAATGATCACTTTAACAGAACCAAATATCAAAAGGTTCTGATGACCTAGCAGACACGTACACACACACAACCACACACTAGTCTGTTATGAGTTTTTTACTTTTAGAGTTGCTTATAGCCTTATATATTAGATTGCATCAAACCACACAAAAGGCAAAGCACCAAGACATATTTTGACATGTTGATTTGGAGAAACATTATAGCTCAAGCTTATGAATACTATTCAAACCTGTAATCATTAAACAGAAGTGACTGGACATAAAAGAATGATCACTTTAACAGAACTAAATATTGAAGGTTCTGATAATCTAGCATAACATACGCACACGCACACACACACAACACACACTAGTCTATTATGAAATTTTTACTTTTAAAGTTTCTTATGTATTAGATTGCATCAGGCCACACTAATGTTTGGCTTAAAGAAAATAAAGGCAACGTACCAAGATGTATTTCGACACATTAATTTGAAGAACCATTATAGTTCAAACTTTGCAACAATAACACAAACCTGTTTCCATTAAGTAGTTTACCACAAAGTATATTTGTGTAGATTTTAATACATGAACAATCATCTTCATCAGAAAGGTTGTTTGACTGCTAAATCCCCTAATCTATGAAGTAACTTTCGAAACAAAACTGCTAAATTATTAGGTTAAGAACCATCAGCTGAGTTGCCTATAACACCATGACATCCAAGTACCCAACATTCTTCTGCCCTGCCCTTATCCAAGAAACAAATAATCCTTTGACTTCAGAGCAATAAAAGATGCATTGAGACTGAAGCAGACGACCAGAATAGGATCAAGCAGCAGAATACTAGATCCAATGACAAATGAAGCCTCCTGCCATTCTTTCGTGACCAAGGACACCTCCTCCTTGAAAAAGAAGGCAAACAAGCAGTAGCAATTGCAGTCAAAAAATATGATCAACTCACCAGTTCCTTCACTGCAATAAACTGTTCATCAGTTAAACGGCATTGCCAACCCTAAGAAAGAGAACTGATTTAGTAGACAATGCAAAAATGAAAGATTACTGTAGTAAAGCAGGTCAATGTTTGTGGTCTCATGCAAAATTTACCAAAATAATATGTTCCCTTATGCATTCAACAAACCCACTGCCTCCAATCCCCTCAGCATCAGACTCAATTAGAGCTGTAGAGTCGAAAACAAGTTTGAAACATGATGAGGAGACTAGATAACTACACCTCTTTATCAGAATAAAAAAATCATCTAGAGCAGCATTTTAATACCAAGAATGGTGCCGTATTCAAATGATGAAAGAGGATCCTCAGTTGCCCCAAGCGTTAGAAGACGCGACCATAATCTCTGATCAAGAAAGTATTATAGCTAGAGTATATCATGTGAATTCAAATTAGAGGAAACTACTCAAAAGTGCAATAAGAGTAGCCCAAAGACAGCATGCTTGATCAGTAAATTAATATAGATTGTAGAATGTACACAACAATCCTAAAATAAAAGAACAACAAATGTTATCATCAATAATGCAATTGATGTATGTTAAAGTATGTTATGGTTGTTCTTTGATTCTTTCCTTAATTACGAAGTACACACATTTAGTACATGGGTTAAGCATATAATAAATACATGACAGTGTTTGAAGGGGGGAAAGAAATTTTGTGAGAGAATGAGAGAAAGGAACACAAAATAGAAGAAGAATTACAGCATGTGATAATAGAGAAATAGACAAGGTGATTATATAAGTACAGCTTAAAGAATTAGGATAAGTTGCCTGGATCAGAAAATGAAGATTCTGAACCTCGTTTTTTTAACCCAAAATTCAGATGTCCAAGGCGAATTTAAGACTGAACTGTTCTAGCTGTGCAAGTTGCAATATAGATTATAAATTGAGCACTAAAACACACAAAGTCATAGACAGGACTATATTAAATTAAAATGACAAAAAAAATTCTACAAGAACCAGATGGAAACAAGAGAAAGAAGAAAGGTTAAGAAGCGAGATAGTAAACAAATGGAACAAGAAAAGATATTGAGGAAAAGATTCTGGGATTCAAACTCCAAAGTATATCAATGACTGACATATCATAAGAACCCAGTCGAGTAGTCCAACACCTTAAACCCAGATACTTTTCTTTTTAATCCCAAGCTTGGTCCAACCCAACGTAAATCCTATCCAAGCCACCCTATACTTTCTTGTTTAACCCCAAGCTTGCTCCAATCCCACATGAATCCTATGAAATCCACCATACCTATTAAGCTCAGATTAAGCTGTGTCCTTGCTAAAATAAACTTTAGTTGGACATACATATAATTTTGATTAATGAATATCTCAAATAAATCTAGAAAAGCAGATGGAGTATATGTGATATGACCAAGAAGTCACCTGGAACAACAAAAGATATTGAGTAAAAGATTCTGGGATTCAAACTCCAAAGTATATCAGTGACTGACATATCATAAGAACCCAGTCAGGTAGTCCAACACCTTAAACCCAGATACTTTTCTTTTTAATCCCAAGATTGGTCCAACCCAACATAAATCCTATCCAAGCCACCCTATACTTTCTTGTTTAACCCCAAGCTTGCTCCAATCCCACACGAATCCTATCAAATCCACCATACCTATTGAGCTCAGATTAAGCTATGTCCTTGCTAAAATAAACTTTAGTTGGACATACATATAATTTTGATTAATGAATAATTGAATATCTCAAATAAATCTAGAAAAGCAGATGGAGTATATGTGATATGACCAAGAAGTCACCTGCAACTTCACTTTGATATCCAAAACCATCCGCTCCCTCTCAGCCTACATGTAACAACCAAAATCAAATATGCCAAATCTCCAGAGACTCCCCGACAAATGATGGTTCCAAAGAACTTACCGCTCTCTCCATCGAACTTAGGCTTTCTGCTTTCGAATCACCATTGGCTAACATAGGAGAACTGGCAACACGAAATGAGAAAGTTGAGTGCCAAAAGAAGATAGTGTCACTTTCCAACAAGAGCTTTTTACAACATCTCTTCCTAAATTCTGGATGGTAACTGGGAGAACATTATTTTGTAAAATTAATTTTTATATATACACAAAATATTAGAATTACTTTATACCTAGGATTTTGCCTTCCAGAATGGGCACCACTTGCTAGTGCCAGAATTGACCGACGCTTTTCTTCCTGCTCTTCTGTTCTAACCGTTGAAGGAAACTGCTTATAACAGTGCCTAGATCCTGGTTCTGAGTGACAGACATATAACTGAATTTCATGGTGAATAGGTATAAAGTTGAATTTTCACCACCCTAGCAGGAGTTTCTAAAACAATTAGACATTAACAAAGAGCTAATATGAAATTAACCTGTCTTCAAACAACAAAATGATGTACCCAATATTGTTAAAAGTTTTCACAAGAAACAAAAATAATACCTGCATCTCCAACATCAGGTTCTGCTACAGTAATGATCTCAGGCTCTACCGATTGTGATGGAAAAATGGTTGTCGGATTTTGACCCCTTCCAGTTGCATCTTGTAATTTGTCAAGTAGATTATTGCTGCTTTCTTCTGACATGATACATCTTTCCAAATAGTCCATGAAACCTTGAGATTCTAAAAATTGAGTTATCTGATAAGGAACAAAAAAGTTAAAATGAACATCAGACAGATATGATAGTCATTCAGAAATGAATAGAATCAAACAACAATAATTAATTAGGGAATTTTAAAATTACTTAAAAGAAGAATTCATAATGAAATATGTCACAACTTAGTCATGCACACAATGTGTAAAAGAAGAGTATGTAACACCATGCATAATATTCTCCTCTGAAAAGAAATGGTACTTATTGATTATCCAAAAAAGCAATACAATTCATCTGAACAAAATTTGTAATGTTCAGTTACCAGCATGTTGCTGGCAGGCAAAGAAAGTTTCTTTAACATAATACAAAGGGGAAGCATAGAGCAGATGTTGATCCTAGTCTCCAGACTCTCCACATAAGATGGATCCCTTGAAAATGGCATGGACCCATCATTCAAAGTGGTCTAGAGAATATAATGAAATTCTAATGTGGGATTGGAACTTAATGATCACAAAGAAATTTTAATTCAGGATTGAAACATAATGACCTATCTTACGGTGGTCCAAAAATAGCTGAACAAGAAACATCGATAAACAAACTACAAGACTTACTACCTCCAGGATATTACTAAGCTCTCAAACATATAGTTAATAAATGGCATGCAGGTTATCAAAGTCGAATGCTGTGAGAGTAATACCAGTCATGGGTTCTTCAAATTATAATATTGAGCTTCAAGACTTTAAACATGTGATATTGCATATCTAGACTCGCTTCCCCAGGCAATACAATTCGTTTTGGAGGTACTATCTGCCCCATTAATGAAGGTATGGCTTGTATATTGATTCATTCTGTGCATTTACGAGTTTCTGGCATATACAACTCGACGTAAGAGTATGCATGCATCATATATCATGTGTTACTTTCATGCATCTCTAGAAGACCATATGCATGTGTTTCTTATGGTTCATGATAGGTCTTCGAAATATATATTAAATCATTGATAAGGAAAAATAAAAAAAAAAAAAAAAATAAGGGTTTTAAGGATAAAAACTAGTCTGATTAAAAATCACTCTGTAGCAGACTGTACCAAAACATCGTATGATACTAATACCACAACAATCCAGCCAAGTTGCCAACAATCAGTATTAATTCCAAACTGAGATAGCTTGGCCGTTAAATTTATTGGCTTGATAGCATATCTCTATCTAAAACCCATTGATAAGCATTTTCTTATTTTGATCCTCTTAACTTCTTCAACGTTTCAACTGGATAACCAAATATGTCATCCTCACCAAATTACACACTACACTCCAAGCAAAGGCAAACGATTACATTAGCCTTCCGCCAAGTACCTAATGGCTTCAGCATCACTTCTCAACATCAAAGAAGAGATCAAAGGTGGAAGATTACATGAACGGGGTGATATGTTAACTAAAGTGTATATATAAGCTTTCTCACTCAAAATTTTTTAATCATTTGCAGTTAGGCCATTTCCCACACAAAAGAAGATACTTCAGACTTTCAGTTACCTGAATATCCATGAGTAATGCATGCGACAAGTGAAGCAAATGCATCAAATTTAACAAAACTTCAGTATCCAAAGGTAATGTCACTAGATTATTTTAAGAGAAAAAATGAAGTGTGTTCATTTTCATACATAAATAGTCATTTACTCATACACATCACAGAATAGTATGGTTGCAAACATAGCAGAAAGAATAACACTATAGCAGGACAGAGAATCTCGATGAAGGTGCCATGATACATGTTTGCCCAGTGAGGAGTAAGACTCGTGACTCTATGACAATGTTGCATCCCATAGTAGTCAACTTCAGAAACTGAAACTCATTTTTCGCATTAGCTGAACACACAATATTCAATGATCAGAAAAGCAAAGCCTCTACAATAAAATATCATTATCCAGTAATAACATGAAGGGTACTTCTTGATTACCGCATCACCAAATTTCACATAAAACTGGTCTCAAAACAATATGCTGGCAATAAAGGCAAAAAAAATGCAACATTTGTTTAAACTAGAAACTAACTGATAATAATGAAGTGTTACTACAGTCTACTACTACAAAAACCATAATGGTACAAAATGACTAGAATAATACCATCAACATAGACTCGGTAGGTTCACCAGTTGCACGTGAACGTTTCTTCAGAAATGCTTGAGAATTGAAGACATTTGTCGTTGGTTCCTTAGAGAGAAAGTGGACACCAGGGTCTGAGAATATCCGTAAAGATGCACCCACAAAAAAATATACAGAGGAACTTACAATAAAGTTACGGTAACCACTCAGGAGCAATGCCAAAAACCTTAAAAATATCAATCTGCAAAATTATTATTAGAGAGAATCATAAACCAGCCAAACAGAGAGTTTAACATTAGTAAAGGAAATATGTCCTCTAAAAACTAGAAAAAAGTTTCTTATTCTAGACACAAGAAAAAGAGCCAAAAACACAGAGTTATAGAACTTTATAATTGACATGCAGTTGGGCACATGCCTTAGTCAATTTTACACTTGATACAGCTTTTTATTATTTTATTAAAACAATGACACTCCTAATTTATGTTCTTTATTAAATTTTTGATAATTTCTTGTTTCTAATATTTCTCTCATATGACATATCATCTCAAATGTTTTACATCAGAGCACGTGCAAATCTACATTATGAACACCTGAAAGCAACAACCTGGTCCTTCTGTTATACTAAAAAATGCTTCAATCATATCCATAGGCATCATGCATCTCTCAGTGACCATTAGATATTTCTTAAATATGCCTTAGATATCTGATTAAAATCTAACCGTTATAATATGCCACTATGTTATGGATGAATCCCACATACCTATATCAAAAGGATTCTTCTCTATGTGAAAGTTGACCTTCTAATGATATATATGATGAACCATTAGCACTGATATCATTTTTGTGAAGCATTAAAAGATTGTAAACATAAATAAAGTCATATTTTTTCCTTTCAGCTTAAGTTGTAATTTCTGTTATGCATTTTAGAACGTATATTCCTTGATTACCAGTTGTCACTAAGCAAACCACAAGTTCATTTTTCCTATAAAGCAGTAAAAGAACCATATATATGATCCCACAATTTATCACATATAAACTTATATGATATGTCCAATCAATTCTCAGATCCCATATATCAGAGCAATTAATGGAGGTAGATACTTCAACCTGAAAGCTAAAATTATCTGGAAACTACGAAATCAGACAAGTGATAGATAGCTAAATATGCAAAACAATTTCCCTTGCCTCTAAATAAATTGCATCAATCATTTTCAACAACTGATCTTCTTCCTTTAGCTATAAAGCTACTCCAAGTTATTTTATGCAAATGACTAAAAGCAAATAAGCATATTGTTCTTATCAGGGTACATGGCAAGAAGTAAACTGACTAATGTAATTGGCAAAAGGCAGACATGTCAGACTTACAAATTTAAGATGGCAACATGTTGAGAATTATAGAATTAAATGGTGCTAACATATGTGTCCAGAAAATGCATTATTATAAGCAATATGCAATCACCTAAGTTGGAAATCATGCTCATCCCCCCAGGGTTTGTTGCCACATCTAACGTATTGCTCAGACATGCTGCCAAAATTGATCTTCAGGTGATCTATCCATATAACATTTGGGTGAAGCAGCTTTAATATCTCACCACGTAAGAAATTTAGCTCAGGCTCTGGTATGGAAGGTATTTCTTCTGATGTGGTAATGCGATTGTACTCAAGATCCACAACTACTACCTGAAGGTGAAAAACATAGAAAAGAGTAAGATAGGCATGAACTCCTAGGGAGGAAAGGCATAGTGGCTATGAATCACAGAAAATGATAGAGTAAGAAAGACTATATAGAAATGCAATTGTTTATCCTTATTAAAGCATGAAAGAAATAAGGACATTTAAGTGAATGTGATGAATAAACTTATAGATAAAATATAAATGTCAATTTCAGAAAAATAGACAGTAGTTATTAGTTAAGACTCGAATGAGATTGCAGATTTCTTACTACTATAAAAAGATTAGGACTCTGGCCTACCCAACTAGTTAAATGATAACAAATTGCTGGTAATGGAGTCATTAAACATCAATACCAAATAAAACAAACAGTTCTTTCCCCAATTACTCATCAGTTAATTTTATTGTTGATACTCCACGAACTCTGAAATTATACAGTTAGCTTCAACAAAATAGGTTGGTATGATGCAGTTATAACTCAACGCTCAGAAGAGCAATCTGCCATGAATCTAGATGACCACCTATTGGCCAAGGAAATGAACCATGAATCTCAACAATTTGGGATTGGCCATATTGATTCTTTCCCATCAATGAGGTCAATTAACAGCAATATCTTTTGTCAATTTAACACCCATCAAAGTCAACTTTTGGGTATTTCTAATGAAGATTTTTTAGGTCATCCTTGACCTCACCATGCACCATCGATCCAAATTGTCTTCAACCAACCCATGCATTTCTAAATCTCCTTTGAACATGTCCAGACCAAGATTTAGGATCCGTTACTGGTCCCTTCTCACAATGATGCAGTTCTCATACATACTGGTGTACCAACACATAGCACACCAAAACTGTCAACACAGGTTCGGACAGCCCAGGTTTAGGATTTCTTTTTCAATAAATTTTACCCATTTAAGTTACTATTCAGTAAATATAGATACATTTTGACTAGAAATCAATGAATAATGATCAAAACATGTTTTAGATCTGGATTACAAATTGTATTTAGAGAAAACATGTCTTCAAGAATCCTAAACATTATATATTGAATCTAAAATTCAATTAACCTACAACCACCAAAATGATCGCTTTGAGTACACTGGAGGTGGGCCGTGATCCTCAATGTGATCAATTATAGATCAAGATTGTAATTGTGAAGAATTATATGTGCAACTATTCCCAAGTACCTAATATTAGAACAGGATCAGTGATGCAATAACACAATAGCAGTTGTGGCCTCATCATCATTCTTTTGGTAGGAGGCACCTGAGGCAAGAATCACTGCAACGAGAATGGCTCAGCAGGATGTTGTTCAGTGGAGCTATGATTATAGTCAATATACTCATGTTGCAAACTGTACCATGCATTTGACTCTAAAAAAATAACCATCACCATGAAATTGTTGGCCATGAGATCCATGCTGGTAGGAAGGCTATGGATATGATGAACATCTATCAGATTCGAGGTATCATCAACTGCCTCCCTTTGGCCTTTATCATTACAGCCATAAACAAACCACGTGAATCCATTTGTGCCGTTATGTTCATCTTAGGTGATATAAATAAAATATTATTTCTCAATTCATGCTCCTTGGCTTTGACCATCTTTGGTAAATGCATTGTCCACATTACTATCATCTCCACAGACCTCACAAAGTGTAAATTCTAAAGGAGGAGACATCTTGTCACCCAACTGTCATTGTTGCTCATGGATTGCTTCCAAAGGACCAACTAATGCTGATGAACAACCTTTTGCCTTATCACGATAGCCAAATGACTAACTCTGATATGCTGTGCCACAAATCATGAAGGACTGACTACCTGAAACCTGACCACATCCTGATATTGGGCCTACACTTCCTCACATAGATCAAAAACTGCAACCCCTATCATTCCTCTTTTTTTACTTCATTGGAAATGAAACGCAGTACATATGAAGATCTCCTACCCCATCCAAAAATTGATCATCCAGGTTCTTTGTTGCATGTACTCATGTGAATTTAGATTCCATAGTATATCCTTGCCTATCTAGGTTAAATCCACGAGTACGAGGCCTAAATCCACATGGATATCTAGGTTGGATTCATGATGTCTAGCCTTCATCTGCAAGATCCAGCCTAGATTTGTGAGGATGAAGGATGGATCCTTGTGGATCTAGCCCCAAACCTGTTATAGGACAAGAAATTACAAATCTACATGGATTTGGCTGAAAAAACTATCTCATAGCCCCAAACCTGTGCAAATCTAGGTCAAATCTACATGGATATGGCTGAGATAGGTTCATTTCATTAAAGGCCAAGAGTGAGGTCAAGGTCAGCTCGTTGCAACCAAATGACCTACTAGCAATCATTGATGAGCAAGAGTTCAGGGACAACAAGAATTCTTCTACCTTTGATCCTGAACAAGGTCTGGAATGATGATAGTGATGCATATAGTGGCAACAATGATGGTCAAGATCAGCTCGTTGCAACCAAATGACCTACCAGCAATCATTGATGAGCAAGAGTTCAGGGACAACAAGAATTCTTCTACCTTTGATCCTGAACAAGGTCTGGAATGATGATAGTGATGCATATAGTGGCAACAATGATGGTCAAGATCAGCTCGTTGCAACCAAATGACCTACCAGCAATCATTGATGAGCAAGAGTTCAGGGACAACAAGAATTCTTCTACCTTTGATCCTGAACAAGGTCTGGAATGATGATAGTGATGCGTATAGTGGCAACAATGATGGACAGGGATCATAGATTTCTGCGACACTGAGAGGTGGATACTGGATAGTTGCCATGATGGTTGATTTTCAAATAAAAATGTCAATTACAAGAACAATTGAAGAAAGAAACAAAAATTAAATATCTTCCCACATTATACTAATGTTTGTCCCAAGTGGTTTTGAACTGCTATAGTATATTATATAGAGAATCAGATACAGAATCAAGACATTCATATATTATTTTGCAACCATGAATTCTTTCCTTTCAGAAAAACTGATATACCAATTATTGTCCAAGATCCTAGGATTATGCATATTCTTGAGTTGTTGCATTAAAATCTCCAGATTGCAAAAACTAAATTATTAAGTCCTACTAATTCCTATATTATTGATTTTGGACTACCAACAGTGAACTCATATACACAATTATCTAATAAGTTATACTTGGACTTCACAATGTTGCATAAGATGCTTTCTTTAGCTTGCTTAGAAAACTTTGATTGACAAATTCTTCAAATTTCACAAATCTTCTCTAGATGCTGACCAAATTATAAGACCCAACATTATCCAGTACTGAAAACCTAAAGTGTGAGGATTAGGCGCACAGAAGTCTCATGAATTCTCAAATAGAATATGCTATAATGATGAGCATTTACATAGAGAATCAAAGTAATACAAAGAATACAAGTTTACAAAACCACAAGTTTCTGACTGAAAGGAAAATATTGGACTATATCAAACTTACACCATCCATTGTCAGAAGAGACGTGTCAACACCTGAGTGAAGTCCCATCATATATGGTGTAGGGGCATCAATGTAATCTACCCCACTAAAGAAAAGTAATGGAATGTAGACATGCTACATAAGAAAAAAAATATATGAGAAAAGTTAGAAGTGAAGAAGTTGTCAAAAAAGAACAGTCAGATTATTAGAAGAAAAATATACATGACATTGTTCTATGCTTAATTGGAAAAAGGATATTCCACTTAACTTTTGTCACAAACAAGCAAAATGTTTTGTTCTTAAAAATAGACAAATTCGAGAAGATCATGTGATGTCTCACCTGCCATCTGAAAGGATATATTAAATGACATATTGCCTCTGACACTAGAGTTAACAGTGAATACCTGCAAAACAGAACGGGGATACGCTTTCAGCACACTTTCATACCAATGATGACTATGTACTAAAGGCAACTGGTAAATGTATGACATCAGGGTTTTTAAGAATCTACTAGCTTGATATAATCCTTTAACAACCAAGAACTAACATATCAAGATCAGCAACATTGTGCTCCCTTGATGGCTTTTATTTCAATTTGGTTGTACCAAAAATGGTTGAAAGAACATGAAGGAAAAGAAGAGACCAGACTGCATATTGATCATGCTAATGATGAATATTATGAAAAAACCATTTGCAAGGATAATGTAGACGACTAGACGTCACCATTGTTGCAATGGTAAGAGGTTGGTTATGTTAGTATCTTGGAGATATGGGGATAATTGTAAATATATTGGAAAATCAAATTTGATTGATCTGTTTCCAAATTTCAAGTCCTCAATATTACAGATGCACAATCCAATCCTTAACAAAAGAGGGCTACATAATAAGAAAGGCAGGTCATAGGGAATACATAATAATGAAAAGACTTCCTTGAGTGGTTGATTGCATCAATTTTCATCTCTCGTATTTGCCTATATTTTTCCCCATTGCCTTCTAACTCTCAACTTTCTCTCTTAATCCAGATATATCTTTGCTTTATTTATCACATTATGTTCAAGCTGAACATACTTATGAAAAATTAGGTAACTCTTCTGTGCTAAGATACTCATGTCTACATAGAGAGAATGAAAGACTATTAATATTAGTTTTGTTTCTTCAAAGTTCACAAAACTGGTCAAAAAGACAGTTGACCACATAAAATCACATAAAAAATGAGTCAAGAACTGTGACACAGACCATCTTGTGACTGTGTTCTAGGCTCCATTGGGTGTTCTAGTCAGTGGGGCCACTATATCCCCATAGGGTCATGCCAATAATTCAGGCACCCAACCAAAGGCAATCGAACCTCATGCACAAGGTCACCAGGCTACCAGAAGCATCAGATCATCCAAACTCATAAGAGATGCACAGTCAAAGTAGAAGCATATCATTTGTTGACCAAATAAGTTGCACAGTATCACAAACAAATCTCATATGCTAGAGTTCCTAGTCTGGTAATGAAATCTATCTTAGGTATTACTGAGAATGTTTGAAAAGAATTTACAGATTCAGGTTATTGTTGCACTATCTGAAAACTAAAGCCTCAATTTTTGAAACAATGTATAATCCACTTAAAACTAGAAAAGTACAATTGAAATAATATAAGGACACACAAGTCAGATTATGACTTATTTGCTCGGAGTAAAATTCTTCTTTCAAGCAACACTGCAGTAAAGAACCGAATCAAGTTATCAACATCAAGGCACTGCACCAGGGGTTGAAACGAAATCTGCACACCGTTAAACAGGTAAAGTCAACATTTACTCCAAACCAGATGTTGAACAATATCCACACACAATAAATTCAGAGAACAACCAAAAAGAAAATTTTTAAATTATAGAGAGCAAAATGAACTCATACATCTGCATGAGGTAGTCCTTCCTTTGGTGGAGCCTCTACAGAAAGAAGGCAATTTTCAATAGCAAATAGTACTCGATCTTTTCCAGGTGTAGGTAAAGGAACATTTGACACCATATAGGCTATTACATCCCATAATGGCTTACTGAAATTGTAAAACATTCAAGTTAGAACACGAAAAGGCTTTATTTATCAATCATAGACACTTCAAATTGTTATGTAGAACTTGAAAGTATCCACAATTATTTCTATTAGAAGCAAAAACCATATACACGGCACAGTTACTTACTAAGGCTCCAAAACATGTCAAAATCAAATAATGAAAATTAGGATTGTCATGCCCATTGGCATGTGTATGCATATGTTGAACTATAAAATACCAAAAACTTGCTGGCACATGCTATGTCAACCCATTATGGGATACCAATTCAAATACTGAATATCAAGAATTATCATACCGATGAACATGTGTGGGCATAAGTTGAAGCATATCATGCCCAAAAAGATATTGGCAAAAGCAATGTTGACCCATTTTGGATACCAACATATGACTAAAGCTATTATTTATCTTATGCCGGACAGCACAAAGGCATGTCAACTAGCACAGGTGGATGTCAAGACATGGCATAGAATCATGATGTGCCAAAAAAAAATCAGAATTTCCCTATACCATGGCAATCCATGCTAGAAATATACACATGTTTGTAAATGTAAAAACACAACATCATAACCTCAGCATTTTGTATGTGTGCTTTATCTTTGCAAGTGTTATTTTACTCTTTAAGTTACTTATATTATGATCATAACTGGTTCACTCCATGTATAGATTTCAGTTTCGGAAACAATGGTAAATTTGCTTGAAACAACTTGTTCCAACAAGAGAATGAGATGTGGAAGGGCTTTATCAGATTAGGTCAAAACTATTTTGCAGGGTTTTTCAGATCAAACATAGGGATGGAGAGCCATAGTCTTTACTTTAAAAAGATATTATTAGTTTGATTCAAGGAACTCAATTTTGGGTACCAGACCCATACTTGTCCATGGCCAGACTGGTCTGGGTCCAGTCCATGCCAGTGTACCAATACACAGTATGCTAGCAGTGTACCATGATACCAGTTTGCTGCAAGAGGAAGGAGGAGAAGAAGAAGAAGAAGAAAAGGAAGAAGAAGAAAGGAGGAGGAGGAGGATAGGAGGGGAGGTGGAGGTGAAGGTGGAGATAGAGGAGATGGAGAGGAAGTACTGGTTTGGAGGTGGATGGCAAGCAACAGCGTGCAGGCAGTGGGCGCACAACATTTGATCAACAGCAACATGCAGGTGACTCGCGAAGTTCTCGAATGACCACTTCGTGAGATAACCTAGAGTTTTCTAAAAATATGATAAACCAAACTGGACTGCCCAAAAATTAATTGCATTCTGGTTTATGCCCAAACCGGTAAATACCAAACAGTAAGGACCGGTCTGGGCGAAATCATATTTCTTGGTTTAATTCTTGGCCCTAAAAGTGTCATCTAGCTGCATCAATAATCTATTTGTGTATAGAGGCAACAATTACCACTCCAGGACTTAAGATCTAGCCAAAAATCCATGAGTACAATATGGTATGTCAAACAAAGGTTCTTGAAGAAGGTGATATGAAGCCAAAGGTTTTGCTTGTCTTTTATCATTTGAATTACTAATTATATCAGATTAAATCTAGATTTTGAGTCAAAACAAAATTTTCTATTTCTACAATTTTTGAAGTGATTGTCAGTTCATCTTTTGGTAGGAGTCCAGATACATTTAATCTAGAGTCTAGATTCTAGACTTGTTTAGTTGATCTGAGTCCTAGTGAAATGAGTTATACTTAAGTTCATCAGTCCTGCTAAAGTCAAAGTTTAGATTCTGATTAAATCAACTTTAAGTAAAATTTGAGTATATCTAGAGTTGCTATGCACATAATGATTGTCAGCTAATAATTCCTATGTATTGAAGGGCTGAGGAACAAGATAGCTGCCACAAACTACTGGAGTCCTGAGGACCCAAACTTTTATCGTATTATGGCTGCAACAGACAAGATAAATGGCGACTACAAGAGTTACTGTTTGGTCAAGGCTATATGATCATGCAACAATATCAGGAATCAAACCTCATCAGATTGAAGCAGCATACAAGAGATGATACTTGGTATTTAAAGATGTTGCATTCACTGGTTTTCCGGAATCTGGGGTAACCTGTCACATCAACTAGGTACCAATTTTAAACAGAACGATCTAAAAAATACCAGCTTTTCCATATTTGTGATAAGATATAACGAGACAAGGAAAAGTGCAAGTGATAGGATAAACTGTGAAGACAAGTCTCTTTCATCTTGATATACAGTCCAGCTATTTAATTTCTTAAGCTATTTACCTACTATGGAGATTAAGTTTAGTCTTTTTGATGCTGTATTAGGATTACTTGATCAATGAAATTAACCATTGGCCAATTAGATCTAAAGGCATGTGGCCGTGGTTATCCAGGTTCTTTATTTTGAGTTTGTTTCACACAGTTTCTTGCCATGGTGTTCCCTTTCTACATCTCTCATTCTCCACTGCTTTCAATATATCTACCTTTATTATAACTACCTTACCGGATTTGGGACTTCCATATAGAATTGAAAGACTTACAGATAACCATAAGATTGTGACAGACTATTTAACACTATGACTGCACAAGCTATCAGTAGTCCCAAATATGACATCAAAGACAAACTTCCGAAAAGATTTGGTAGAAATATAAAATCCCAACAACATTTAAAATATTAAATCATCAGCCACTATGCAACCCTATGAGGTCAAATACGGCTGTTTATACCACCACATAGATATTCACATACTGCTATTGTTATCAAACACTGTATGTGATATGGTCCAAAGATCAAATGTATATTTGACCACAAAAAAATTTTCAGAACCTTGGTTAAGTGACTCTTAAGCTAACTAATAAGAAAATGAACAATTATTTATTCTTTCCTATCTTACTAATACTCTTTCGTAGACTTAAAAAGGCCTCAAACTTATTGATTCTGAATTATTCTGAAACTAACTAAAATTAACTCAAAAATGAAAAACTATGATAGGGAACAAATCTGAACCCGAGATTTGTCAACCAGGCCTCAACTAAGATCTAATCTAACCTTAATGACCCAAAAAAACCTAGATCCAAACAAGAGGGTGTGCCAGGACTTGGTAAAAAGATGGACAAGGATGAAAAAATTAAGGATGTTTGTAATAAAAATGCTTGCCCCTCATAATAAAGTGAGGACCGCAAATTGGAACTTGACAATAAGTGAATGAGAAAAGAGAGTTTATTTTTGTGCTGCAAGTTCAGTCTCATAAGCTTTATAATGAAGAGTCACAAGAGTAAAAGTGTAAAATCATGATTTAAAATAACGCTCCAACTGATAAGTATCAGTCAATCAAACACCAGTAATGGAATCATAAGTTCAGTTCCATTTGGTGTACAATCTTTTACTGTTCTTTCCTCAGCGATATTGGATGGTACACGTTGATATACTGGCATATGCAAAATCATGTTCACCACATGATAAAAAGTAATGTAACATAGGCACAATTTAAGCACAATGCTGATTGATCAATAGTAACTCCAAGAAGAAGACAGACGATTTACATAAAATGTATTACCTGCTGCCAGCAGGAGAAAAGCAGAGAATGAACAACTCTTCCAGTGCATCCTTGAGAACTTGAAAACTGGGTGAACGAGATACAACACAAATGCATTTATCAGCAAAGGAATTTGCTGGTATCTGATATGCTTCAATAATATCTTCACAAACTGGGTCACGAAATGCAATGCACGCTACATAAATTTTTGACCCATCTCCCTCTGCAGATAAAATTTTATATCAACACATACCAAAAGAATAATAAAAATGTCCTCATACAATTTTAGAAAAAAAAACACCAGGCAGATGGAGGAAAACTGCAATAGCAAGAATCACATAATAAACGATCCTAAGCAATGCGTCTAACAAGTTCAAACAACTTGTACACCTTGTGCAAACAATTCTGAGGATACAAGTCAAATTCCAAATAGTGACATTATTTGCTAAAGATGGCCTTTCTGATGAACGATTGCTAAATTTGCCACAAATTTTATGGACTTCAAATAATGTCATAATAGCAACTATTAGTTACTATATAGAGGATATCAAAGAAAATAAAATTTTATCTGGTTCATTAGGATTTGAAAAGTATTCAACTACATAGAGCAATTCTTCTCCTTTTGGGCTTGGGACCGAAGATAAATAAGGTTTAACAAGAAGAAAGCAAACAATCTCTTCTTTTGTCTCCCAATTTTCTTTTCAAATATTGCTTTGTCCTACAGGATATATGCACTTGATCATGAAGTATTACCAACCTAACATATAAACTCAGATTTCGGCAACATCATCAATGATTTTTGCCTAGAGTCTCGTGGGATTGGAAGTTCAACCCCTGCCAAAAAATCCTACAGGCTATTAGTTAATAAACATGTTATACAACCACAATTATGTCATTTTTTATCATTGAGCAACTGATTCAGAATACTCAATGAAACTAGCAGATCACATAGCTACCAAGATCATTTGCAACTGAGAAACTGACAACTGTTTCATAAGTTGCCGGATAATTTGAGGTAGTTTGGCAACATCTAGTACAATCTTATATTAGTTTCCAAGAGTGCTGAAGAAAATTAAAAAAGAAAGTTGAACGAAAGGAAAGGGACAATCATAGCTTCAATGAAAATTCTAAATAAATTGGAAGGAGATGAGCCTTGAATATAATTGAAAATTTCATTCACATAAGATTGATCTTGATTTAATACCACAAAAAGATGAAAATCTATCAATCAGACACATCATCGAAAAGAATATTGTTCCCAGAATCAAATATGAAATTTATCTTCTTCAGAGAAAGAAAGAAATAGATGATAAATACTTTCATGTGATGTAATCTTTCCTCAGTTCTCAATTTTCCTTTTTTTTTTCTTGTACTTGGAGCCTACAAAAAGAGGGGAAAGATTGTAATTGATATATGGAATAAATCAATGAATGAAGAATGAGTTATTTTCCCACATCATATGTAAGTGGTGTAAAGCCACATTTCTAATACCCAACGGTGAGAATCTTATCCATCCATGTGTGGGACGTGCAGAGATGTGAAACAATTATCCACAGGAGTTTCCTCTTGAGATAGACTGAGTTTGATAGTTATCATATTTTTTATTATTTTTTCCTATCATTATATTTTTCTTCCTCTCTCGTTCCTTTCTTCTTTTCTTACAAATAAATAAATATTTTCTTTGTTTGCCACAAATCTGTCGTATATGAGATTTGACATCAGAGCTATTTAACCTACATCAGCGTGATACCCTAGCCTAAAAGACCACTTTCTCTTGTTAGTTTCATTGAAATAATTCCATATTTGAAATAGTCCGATTGAAAATTCTAAAATTACATATATTTTAAAAGGTACTAATGCTTATTTCTAGGTACATAAATAGTGGAGATCAAAAAAATATTGTTCTTAAGGCTGTCAAATTAATTCATGTTCATGAATAATTGAAACCCAAGCTCTTGACTCGAGCTTGCCTCTTCTTCACAATCACATTGATCCAAACTCAAAAAAAATTGTTTTTTGTTCCCATAACAAGTTTAACCCATGGGTCTTGGTTCAATCGTATTCCCCTCAATAAAGGCTTGAATTTAAAAAATATAATGTGATAATTATATTTGTTTACCACAAATTGTAAATGCAGATCTAATAGACATATAATTTTCTCCTACTAGCTATCAGACTTTGATATAAAGGTCAAGATTTCATCATAGCTTCTATAATTAATTTAAGTTAAAATATACAAAAAAATATTTGTAACGTTATATATTTTGTCACTTCAATCAAATTTGTGAATATAATAAATATATATTTTTCTACTACAAGCTTATAGATTATGATGTAAACGTCGAATATTCATCATAGCTTATGTAAGAAACTCTTATTCTCATTTGCATTGTTATACTCTTCCATTATTCTCTAAGATCCCATTATAAACCCCCGTCGTTTGCCAGTATTCATCGTCATTGTTTTCTCAAACGACCTTCCTTTAGGTCCTCTTCCAGCCAACTCTAGATAGGGGTATAAAAATAGCTAGGTGTACATGAATAACACAAACTAGACTATCAAGCTCAAGACGACCACAAATAGCTCCAGGTTCATTTTGCCAAACACAAACAAGGATCATTGCACTCATTGTGATTTCTCTACTCCCTTAATTGCCCATACATAATGGCTAAAAAAGCCATATAATACCTTGAGTTCATGTGTTATAAGGTCAACAACAAATTAAATGATAAATCTACATATAACAATGCCTATCAGAAAGTAAGAATAAGATAGATGAGAATGACAAAATGGATGGATGTGTTTCTGATGTAGCATTAAATGAAACCGTGAGAAATTATCAAATGCTTCAAAAAGTTAAAGATAACACGATCTTAGAACAAAATAGGGCAAAATTGTCTAAGAAAATTTTGACATGTACAAATGAACATATAAGTGCACTTAAGACAGGTGACTATTTAGATTAGAGGTACCAAACTAGAAAAAGACACCCAGAGAAAACTTGGTTAGAAATAATAAGAACAATGAATATGTGACCTAAATTGCAAGAAATGAACCAAGTAGCCAACCACAAATATTCCAGACAAAATCTTATTGTTGCTTCTGAGTTGCTCAATGTCAGGACAACTCAGAAGAGCAGCATCAATGTTGAATGACACTAATTTTCAAGTAATGCAGTTAGATCAAGTTTTCACAAGAACAGGGTTGTAGCTTCTGAGTTGCTCAACATCTATGGTTTTTTATGTTACGGACATCAAAATAAAAGCTGAAAAAATAATCCTGGTAAACCATTTGAAATTAAGCAGAAGATCATCAATACCTGTTAGAACAATCGGATAACTACGAGGGTATGTTGTTACATCATCCGAGTTAAACCCTGAAGAATAGAATTCCACCCCTGCAGGTAGAACGCACTGCAATAGTAGCATTCACCATCAGAATAAAGGAAATAATTGTCTTCTAGTAAGTCTTTATCTAGTATACCTTGTTCAGAGTTCAGAAAATGTTGATGTGCTTTCTCAATTATCAAGAAATGTGTCGAACACAAGTATATTCCAACTAAGCATCCGAAAACAACCAACCAAGTGAATAACTCGAATTAAGCAGAAAGGTTGTGTTCGGTAAGATTGACATTTACGGATCTAGGCCTTGTTTGAACTTACATATGTTCCTTTCCCATTTTAGATGAGGACAACAAAATAGGCCCACTTACAACTCAAATTGGGTAGGTTTAAAAGATTAAAAGAAGAGAACCTGAATCAAAAGAAAATGACTAGCAGAGAGATGGGGAAAGAGAGAAGGAGATGAAACATACGGTGGGGAGCTGCGGGGGCGGGGGAGGGTAGAGGGAATGGTTGGAAGGAGGGTACTGGTCAAGGAGGGAGGGCATGTACATGACCTCCATCCCCTGGAACCCCTTGTTCCCCTCCAGGGTCCGGATCTCCGGCCCGATCCCGCACACCACGAAGTACTCGAAGATCCTCGACGACGCCGAAGCCATCGGATCCAACCGCAAAGGAGAGAGGAGGGGCAAGAAGAAGAATCGATCCCTGATCTCTCCAACCTCTCACCCTCCCGGACCCGCCGTCCTCGATCCACGACCGGATCTCAACGCCGAGCGTTTCCTGATCGCTTGATCCACCGGCTCCTCCTCGTTCGCCTCGATTCTCCGATGGATCTCGATGTGGAGCAGTTCTTCGTCGCGACTTCAAAGGGAGGACGGAACGAGGGCGACGGCTTCGTCTCCCGAGCGGGATTTTTGTTGCCGCGTTCAACGGCTCGCTCGAAGTGGCGGAGAGAAGGTGGGCAGGTCGGTTGTCGGAGTATTATTAGCGGGGATGATAATGGATCGGATTTTCTTATCTATCCTAATCCATTAATCCGACAAAGTGAATAAATAAATAAATATATATATATATATATATATATATATATATGATAATAGATTGGATTTTCTTGTTCGAGGGTGTCGAATCCTATAAAATTATTAGGAGCATTTTTAAGAAATGTATATACCTATACTAGTTGGGGATCATAGGATTTAGATGATATTTAAGTGCATGATTCAATGTACTTAACAAAGTCTTTTGTTTAATGGATATTCTGAATCATTATTTTTCAAAAGCCCTTCTGTAATAGATTTTCTGATTTATTATTCATTTGATCAACATTAATTATGAAGGAATTATATATTTATCTCAAACCCAATCATATTAGTAGTGCGTTAGATCAAAGTTATGAGAACACTTATTTGTTCGATCTTATCATTGTAGTCTAGCTGATAATCTTATGTTAATCATATAATATCAAAACATCTACGTATATAACATTAAGATGTCGATCATACGATGTTGAAGTATTGATCGTAACTCCACTAACATATCATATTACATGAGTATATTCCAGTTTTTCATTATACATAATTATCACTTATATTATATAAAAAGAATGATGGATGAGCACTTGTATACATACACTTAGGTTGCCATACTCGAAGTATTTTGTATGATATTTTAGCCAACCATATTTTTTATACTAACCCTCATCTCGATACATACCATGTATGACAAAAAAAATATAAATATGTTATTCATTTGTCTTTCTTCACTAATAAGCCAATTATGTTTCCCTTCCTATTGTAATCAAATTTTTAATTTAGTCATAGTATTTTTTTGCTAATGAAATATAAGAAATAACTATTCGATATTCCAAGTAGGATGATATCATTTTTATTAGTAAATTAAATAAATATTAAA